ATAATCTCGTAACACACACGGACTGGGTCGTCTGAGAATGTAAAGTAGCAGGGTGGCTTGATGGCGCTAGTAAAAAACGATCGTAAGGCTGTGAGTAAAGAGTGTAAGTTCCTGTTCCTTATATGGGCGTCTGACATGTAAGCTGCAGTAAGTAAATGTAAGTAAAGCCTATGAATTACCGGGTAAGTTGTCGTTCAGCAACTGCGGCGTCCGTCGACGACGGGCCCACTTCCATGCCGCTTCGCTGCCCTGGTTATTCTGCAAGAGTAACACCGTTGTCGTCATTTGTATATTCTCTTCAACGACCCGCGCGTACTGTGCTTAGTTGAAAGAATGCCTGCTCCATTACGATATTGCGGGGACCTGTAGTCGCCTGTGCACAGCTACTCGACCTAGTGCCACTGTCGCATTGGGAGGCGTGCTCTACTCGGAACAGAATCTGGCATACGACGCCGCATATCGATGTAGTAAATCTATGGGGATTTAGCCATTCAGGGTCAAAACGTTTCTGACTTGCTCGCCGCTTCCGTTCTGGCAAAAGTCAGTTCGGCCGTCATCTACTTGCTATTGTAATCAATGTTGACCACGCCCGGATAGCTTGCCCTCTCAATTACAGACATCCTTGACCTGTAATCCCACCAGCTGTCGATGATCTACGGGCTCAAGAGTAGTTTGTTATCGTGAGTGTTTCGAGTCACGGTCGTCTTGCTCTCGAGGTAAACAATGCACGCGGTTCTCTCTACAGACCCTGCATAGTGCTGGATAGAGGCTGCTATACATATAGGTGCTTCACTATCAGTCCTACTTCGCCGCATGCATGCTGACGTACGCGCCGTTCCAGATACTAAAGGCTCTCGTCCACAATTTCTGAAGCCACGGGCTGCTGCAATATCCCCCATCCTTGATATATCGGGAGTTAGGCGCGTGTATTCAGAGCGTGGCTGCAAGGCTGAAGAGCGACACGCGAACACGCTGAGCAGACTACGAGAGGTTCGTCAAAGGTCCGGCCCTGTGCAAGGCCTACACGTTGTCCAGACATGACAGGAGCTGCTGTGGTGCTGGGATCACAGTAATCCATGCCATATCGATATGAGGGCACTCCCTGCGCCCTTCGTGTCACGCACCCTTGCATTCGCTGCTCTGCCATTCACGGGTCTTCTGCACGTCCGGCGCTTCTTTTAGGCATATTGAAGTGATCATGCTGCTCATGTTGAACGCACCTAAACCTCTTCGGCTATCGGACAACGTTGTTTGCGGAGAAGTTCCAACTAGCCACATATGTAAGGTTCATATCTACAGCCTCGAATGAGATTATATTTCTCATCATTGCTATTTGGCTGTAGGCCGCGCTGTTGTAAAGGAAGTCTTGCCGCTGACGGTCCCTACTGCATCTATTGCATCAAGAGCAATATATCGCATGTGATACTGGATCAAAATCTAGCTTGCAGTCATTTCAGGTCCGTGATATCGTATCCATCGTCATCCTTGCACATATACAGACTAGTAAATCCCAATGTACAGCCAGTAGACGCGCGGGCGCCACCTGCGCAAGCCCAATAATTTTGCTCAGGGTTGGCTCGCCAGAGATCTGATTCCGGCCCTCTTTTCCTTATTTATTAAGCCTGTTCCAGTTCCGTCGCAGGTTGTATATGCGCCCACATCTATCTCGGTAGCACGTCGGAGCGCGTGCCCCAAAACTGTATATGCTCCTCTCATCGGCAAGGTCGCAGCGAAACTCTCGATGCAGACGGTCCGGGCGACGCTACAGGTTCCGGAACATGATGCTCCGAACGGACAACGGATGATGTTGCGCCGTGGCCCTCTGGAAGATCCGTGTGGGATCTAGCTGCACGACTGATCGTGAAAGCTTGGCGTCTCGTCCATCGATGTGGGCGTGTGCTCATGGAGCATGGAATTGACGACAGCCTCTTTCGCGCTCGCGTTATCTCACGGATGCTCTGCGACAGTTCTCATGCATGTGAGCCGATTGCTCTCATGGAAACGAGCCACCAGGAATCCTTATCCTTCTGTGAGTGCCCTCGAAGCATCGTCGTTACAACTTGTACGTACCGGACGCTGACCCTGTGCTTCCGTAGCACAGCAACGAATCTCTCGGTTTGCGATCCGTCCTTCCCGATTGGAAGATGGGTGCGCCTATCCGTCAAGCATACTCAACCGCTGTTGTTTCCAAATCGGAGGGCTTTCTCGCGATCTCCTGTGCCCATACGAGCGACGCTGATCGCAGGCGTTCGACACGGGATTTCCAGAAACGCCCTGGCTCGCGCAGGTGAGGGGAGGACGTCATGCCAGGAGGCACTGCGTCCCAGGCGTCTCAAGCCTTCCAGACCTCCAGCAACCCACCTGCTGATTGAACCTGATTGCGCATCAGCGCCACATGGATGTATGTTATGAATGCTCCGTCGTACCCGGTGCAGCCAGAAACTGAACGTAGATTTGCCCCCGAAAGTCAAAATTATGATGAGCTTGGGCCGCTGGGCACCTTGCTCGACCGGCCGCTGAGTCCTTGGCAGCTGAAAACGAGCTGCTTCAGGCACGCGGGGCTCGCTTGGCGACCTGGGCACAAGGACATTGCGCCGGGTTCAATGGCAAGGTACGCATGTCAGCTGCCCGTCCAGCGTATGACGAGAAATGCTGTTCCAGAGATAACATTGATCTTTTGAGGTGCGCTGGCAACGCACTGTGTCATGTGTGCACGGCCGCCATCACTCCATCTGCTGTCCGCACCAGGCAAGTGGACACACTGGCACCGCATGCCCGCGCTGAGCGAATAAATTGCAATTTCGGCGGTGACAGTGCGGTGAAACAACATTTCGTCGTGCTTGCCGGAACGTCCTGGATCGGACGAGATCGTGCTGCTCGTCCCGCGCCGTTGTGTTCAGGAGGGAGAGCGGCCATCGATCGGCTCCGAGAGCGGTTGTTCCAGCCGTGCCAGCATGCAGCAGCGTTCATGCCCACCGCGACGGCACTAGCAATGCAACTCTATCCACTCGACCCTGGCATCCGACCCTGTCGACGAGCCACGTTCCTGCACAATCGCACTCGATGGCCGGAAGGAATATTCTATGTGTTCGGTGCCGAACGCTCCGGCGCGCAGATGAAGGGGGTGCCTCCTGTGACCGTGCTCTGGAACCGCGGTCAGCTGTGGCTCGATCACCGTTCCTGAGCGGCCTGGAACGAGTAGATGGAGGCAGTTGCACACACGCCTGTTGATTCACGGTAAAAGAAGAAGACCAAAAAAAAAAAAAAACAGACTTGTCCCTTGCTGTGTTCTGCGACGTGCGCTCATCGTCCACGGGGACAGTGCCAATGCGGACAGGTTACACGCTGCCGGACGCCGTTGGCACTTGCAGCACTGTGCTGCGAACTTGGCCCGCCAGGAGTGGCAGCCCGGCTTCTCAAGACTCTATCATTCTTCACGGTGCCTCACGGTGATGGATGCGTGCGCTACCCGCCTGGATGCGCCGTCGCTGGTTGGGCGCCTATAGAGCGGGAGGCGCTGCAGCTGATTCTCGATGGCTGCGGATGTGAAAGGAGGAGGATCGACGGAAGCTCGGATTGGACAGACATTCCTTCCGGCGTCGTCGTCGTAGCAACGACGCGAAAGCCGCGCACCCAACAAGGCAAGCCGTGCACACCAGCGGAGTCGGACCTCGCATCGCTATCGCAAAAAGTCTCCCACCGCGAACAGTTCTCAATGCCACCACCACCCTGCCGCAGGGGCGAGGCACACACACTCGCTATCTGTGATACGCTGCTGAGGCCTGAGGTGGCATCAGAGTACGTATGCCGTCCGGGAGACGCGTTTCCCAGGCGGCAGCCGTGGATGAATAACCGGTCTTGGGCGCATCTCCTGGACCTCGACTTTCTTGACGGTCGAGTCCGCTTCGACATCGATGCTCGGAGGCCGGCACCGGGTACCCTGTTCCCCGTCTCCACCTGGTGAGACTCTAGAAACAGTGTGCTCCTCGTGCACACATTCACATGTCTGGTTCGACCCCACCGGAGACAGGCAAATTAAATGAGAAGGTTCAACTGTCGCACAGATGGACCGTTCCCGGCCACTTGAGGCTCTGGCACTGAGGCACAGCTGTTACGAGAGCGCGCGGACGGCACGGTGCCACCGTCACGCTTGTGCGATAAGTGGAGGGGCGAAGATCATGCTCGGTGCTTGGGGCGCACCGAACAATACATCCGATGTCGTTTTTTCTGTCTTGGAGATCCTAATCTTTTCCATGACGCTGACGCTCGTGATCAGGAGACCCCCTTGTATTCCTGGTCGCCGAGCGATTCGTCATGTCGACGTCAGAACGCAAGGGTGCTTCCCAGCGAAGCTCGGGGAACGTGGCGATGATCGCAAGAAGAAGGGCCGAAATTTTTCTGGAAGACAGGAAAGAGGCTCAGACACCGTTCGCGCTCTGTATAGGAAAGAGAGTCGCTGGCTCGGCATGGTCACCCGGTGCTGCGAGACAACGCACGCACGCTCGCACACCACAGGTTTATATGGGCCGAGCGAGTACCCGACTCCGAAAGTACGCAACGACAACATGCATACAGTCGCGGACAGGAATGAATGCATTCCCATCCCGAATCCCCGGGCAGAAAAACGCTATCATCACCTCAGGGGCGCCCGGGCGAGAATGGCCTGTGCGCGGTCTGGGACAGAGAAGCAGAAGCCGGGGTGGACACTCCTTCGTAGCAGCGTGTTTCACACATGGCTGTGCAGGACTCGAGGAGCCTACTTCTGGGGTTGCTGACGGGCTCTATCATCCGGCGCGCCAGGCTCTTGCGACGCGCTCGCTGGCTCTGGCACGCCCGCCATGGTGCCAACTTCGGGACGCGGCCGCTGCTTGTTGTGTGTGCGTGTGCGTGTGTTTCGCCCGCGCCCGCACGGCGTCCGCACGTACGAAGGGGCTGCTTCCGAGACAGTTCGCGGCGAGCGTGGCTTCGCGTGGGGTTCCGCCGCCGCAGCGGCGGCGCGGCAGGGAACGCCCTGCAGGTTTTTTTATTGTTGTTCTCTGCGTCCGCGCGCGCGCCGCCCGTGACCTCTGGGAAGCGGCTGGACGGAGGCGCCGTGCATTCAGTTCGCACGGCGCACGCTCACATGGGGGTGCATGAATGGCGCCACACACTTGCTGCTGCTGCTGGGAGCTTCTGCTGTGCACACACACACACGCACTGTGTTTTGACAGGACCCTCTGCAGAGTCTTCTCTGTGCCACTCGGGCGTGTGCACGGCGGGGAGAACGCGCACAAACAACATGCAACAGCGTATGTCACCGACGTACCACGAGCTGGACCTGCGTTTCAGCCCTATCGGCGTCGAGTGCTCCCGGCACGCAACCAATAGGAGGGGACGCTGCTGCTGCTGCTGCTGCCGCGCGCACGCACGTCGTCCTGGCGCAAGGCGAGGCATTGTCACGCTGCTGTCATGCATGCTGCAGGGGGGACCACGGGACACGGGACGTGGCAAGGCGCACGCACACCCGCTGGGCCCCTCCAATACAAATTACTTGTTGCCTCCAGCGGCGGCCCCACCGTGACCCGTGGGACCCTGAAGCCCCGTTCGCCAGGCTTCTGTGCGCCGAAGATCGGACCTGGGCCGGCCCTCTTCTTGGTGATCCCTTTGACATTGCGCTTTTCGGAAATGCATCATTTCGTCCCCAAGTGGCATGCATGTTTCTGCGGCGTGACAAAAAGAAACGCTCGTCGTTCGTTTCCCCATTGCGTCCTCCGCGCTTGGCTCGGACTCGGCCGCGCCTCACCTTGCTCGGGAGCCACCTTATCACTCCGCGTCGGCTTCGGCTCCACCGTGCGACGATAGCACTTTGCTTCCAGACCCAATAAAGATAATAGATTGCAGTGAGGTAAGAGAGATTACAACATAGGTTGGTATAATGTTAAGAACAGCGACGACTGCTTGAATGACCACTGAGACACTAGTATGTGCAAGTATGTACGGTGAAGGCAAGAATATAAGCGCGAAAGACGAAAAAAAAGAGAGAGAGCTATACTAGAAAGGACCCTAGGTACCTGTTGCAAAGCCGTGTCTCTGCGGCGACATCGACGTGTGCGGATAAGTATGTACACTCGAACACTAGAGTTAGTATGTGCGATACATGTACCAGAATAACCTTCGCGAAAACATGGGTGGGGAGCGCGCGCTGGCGCAGAAGGCACGCCGAGAGTACAATAAAAGCGAAGCGAGGGAAAGCAAGCCAACGACGAACGGCCCTCCCCCGTCCGTTGCGGAAATATAGAGATGGTGCCCGTAACGGGGAGCGAAAATAGTGCTCCATCGAGTCGCAAGAGCGCGACGGCCGACGGCGTGTAGAGTAAGAGAGTGCATAGGGGACCGGGAGAGACGGACGCCGCGTGGTGGCGCCAGACAGCGGAGGCGGGCGTGTAGAGTCGTATTAATGTACAATAAAGCAAGCAAGCAAGCCTTGGGGCAGGACCTCCGGATGCGACGAGACGAGACGTAGATAATCGATGGCATGGGAGCGCGAGAGCAGACGAGATGCGCGGTCTTGAGGTCGGCCTTCCTCCGCGGGATACGACGGCGACGTCGGCAGCCCTCTCGAGTCTTCTGCGCGACGGTGGAGCGTCGAATAAAATTTGTTAACAATCAAGAAACCCACTTCAATTCTTCAGCCTATATCGCTCTTCGGCGGCCACTCCTTTCATCTTCGCTCTCCCACTGCTCCTCCTGCGCCTGGTCGTAGCGAGGAAAGCCGGGCAGCGGCGTCAGGAGTGTGCTGTTCGGCGGGAGCCTGTTGCTGCCAAGCGAGACGTGTCCTTGGCTGGTGAGGAGCGGTTCGTCGTCGCCGCCGACGTCGGGCTCGACGATGTTCTCCGCACTTGGCGGTGTGTCCTCTGGTTGGGCGTACCCGGGTCCGACGAGGTGCGCCTGCGAGTGTTGCGGGTGAGGTTGCGCAGGGGGCGGGAGGTCCCAGCCTCGCTGCTGGTGGTACGGTGTCCGGTCAACGTAGTACTCGCCCTCGCTGGCGGCGTACCGCTCCTCAGCTGGGCTCTGCGGTACGTGACCGTGCGCCTGCTGCTGTCGGTCGTGGTAGTCCCGGCTCTCGTACTCCTCTTCGGGGTACTGCAGGCCGCCGGTCGCGTCCTGCGCCGAATATATGCTGCGCGGCGACTGAGTCACGGACTGCTGAGCGTGGTGCGGGTGCGCCATTGCGTGAGGCGATTGGCTGATGGAATGCGGGCTCGGATACGGCTGACTGCCGCGTCGCCTGAGAGCCCCAGCGTTCATCGCCATCTCATACTGGGAGTCGAAGCCACCAACGCGGTGACCTTGGTCGAACGAAGGGCGATCAAATGCGCGGGCGTGGCCCTGGTCAAACGAGGCGCGGCGGTGGTCGTAGTCGTAGCGAGGTTCCTCCTGCTGCCGACCGTACGACTGGGCGTCGAACGATCCACGGTGACGCTGCGCCTCCATCTGCGCATGCGGGTGTAGGGTCTGCGGGTGGCTCTGGTGTTGGAGATGATACTCGAAGCTGCCGGTCGTTCGTGATCGATTAAAGGAAGGTGGCTGAGGGTACGCAGAGGCACCGCTGGTGACTTGGCCGAGACTCTGGCCAGGCCCTGCAAGAGCATGACTGCCAGGCATGCCCATCGCGCTGGAAGTAAAGTTAGATGCGAGAGATCCGGGGCTCAGCACAGGTCCAGCCATCGATCCGCTCAGGCTGACGGGCATGGCGCCACCTTGCATATTCGGGTTAATGCCGGACACAGGCATACCAACGGGAACGAGCTCGCTCCTCATTGGATGTGCAGCCATGGGCAGCCCTGAGGGAATCTGCTGAGACGAACCGGTCATGTTGTTTGGCATGGACGGAATGCCCATGCCACCCGGTCCCAAGCCGTACTCAATGTTGATTCGGCGTTCCGCGTCTTCTCGCTCGCGCTCGATCTGTTCCATACGGGCACGATCTCGAGAAAGTTCCTCGGCCTCTTTCTTGGCCGCGCGCCACTGCTTGCGGAGCTCTTTGAATTCTGTGAGAAGGATGAGAAATCAGTGACCTTGCTGACTATATGCGGACCAACAGAAGTACGGGAGCAAAATAAACAAGCGTTTGCCTTCTCGAACAAAAGCAAATGGGAAGCTTGTGCCTGGATTGAGATCACAGCCTGTTTAGTCTGCAGGGGTGACTCGCGGATTATCCGTGGATATCCATGCCATCCTGCCATGCTTCGGTGGAAACGAGATGCAGACGGTTGCCCTCTGTGGGTAGCATGGAGCGAGCAAACGACGATCTTCATGTCGCCAGTTAGAGTAACCGCATATATCGAGTATGGATCGAGGTAACGGCATTGACCAGATGGAGGTGACCATGTGCGCTTGTGTGTGTGGGAAGGGGGCGATAATGAGGGTCAAAGCGAGGCAAGCCCTTGTTGAGTTCCGAGATGACGAAAGCAGGGGGTCCGATGCGAACACGCAAGGCGAAGGTCGCAAAGCGCAGGGCGGGCGCGAGCCCCGAGCGGCGAAAGCGCAGGTACTCGACACGGACGAGAAGTGACAATAGGCAAAATGGCTCACCTCCTGGACTCCGCTTTCCTCCGTGCTTCTGCATGGTGACGTGCGCGTTCAAGTGGTTCAAGGTTCCATAGGCTTTCGTGCAGTTTGGCCAGCTGGATGCGGCGGCGCGGTACCGGTACGCACAAGATGGGAGATAAGCGCTTCAGTCAGTACGTGTCCACCCCCCACGACTCCATAAAGCTCAGACGACTTTGAAGGCGGGGTAGCAACAAAAACGCGAAGGCTCACCTGCACCGATAGAGCCTCTCGATCTCGTCGTACCTCCTCCTTGGACGTTTCTTCACCGCGTTCCCTGGTAGCGCCACAAATGAATACGTTTTATTCGACTTGCCCTTTTGCCCAGGTTTTGCCTCCGCACCTTCCCCTTGTTGTTTGGCGTCCTGACTCTGACCCTGCTGGGCGCCGACCCCACCATCCTGCGGCTTGCCTGCGACGGGCGACTCCGGCGTGTGTTCGTATCCGTGGCCGGCATAGGAGCCGGACGCGCTTCCCGCCGTGTTCGGGCGCGCGCCGCTCTGGGCGAGCCACGCGCCGTCGTCAAAGTAGGGCTGCTGGTGGTGCTGGTGCTGGTGTTGGTGCTGCTGATGCTGGTCGTGGACCTTGTCGGCGAGCCCATGCCCGAGCGCCATGCCCGAATTGGAGGCGAGTGCGGCGGACGTCGCGGTTATCGCGAGCCCGTGCGCGACAGTGTCGACGGGCGTGGTCGTGAAAGGCCCGCTGTCCTCGGGGTGCAGCTGCGACTGCTGGTGGTGGTGCTGCGCGTCCCACGCGCTCGCTTCGGGGCTGTAGGCGTAGCTGTCCGATGGGCGGGGCGAGTACTGCGTACGGGCGAGCTGCTCGTGGGGAAAGGCGTTCGAACTCGGAAGCGAGGACGACAGCGGGAGATGCGGTGGCAGGCTGCTGTTATATGCAGCGCGGTGTCGCACCAGGGGCTCGCTTCGTCGGCGGTCGGGAGCAAAGTAGTGTGTGTTGGACGGAGGAGGAGGAGAGAAGGCGAAGTGGGCATCATCGACGGAGACACGGGGATGGTGGGGGTCGTCGGGGTCGAGAGCCGAGGTGGGCGGGCTCAGAGAGTCGAAGGACCCCGAGCGTCCGTGTTCATGGCTGGGCGGGTACGGGGAGTAGTAGGACAGGGCGGACGGCGGGGAGGAGGCGGCGTCGGAAGCGGCGGGTTCGGAGTGTGGAGAGACGGGGGCGGTGTTATGGGGGAGGGCGAGGGCGGGGTCCTTGGCGTCGTGGTAGGCGAGCTGGGAGAGGGAGAGGCCTTCGAGGGAGAGCTGGTAGGAGGAGGGATACTCGAGCATAGCGGTCTGCTCGACGCGCCTCGGGGCGAGAGGAGGCGAGATAATATTCGACGGACGACCAGAGGATTTGGATCTCGCTTTCGGATCTTCAATGCTATCATCATGTTCGATCGCCTCCCTCCCCAGCCCGGCGCCTGCCTCCGATTCGATTCCAGATCGGCTTTCGATTTGAACATTCTGCCCAGAGAAGCACCCTCGCCTTACCCGTTCCCACGGGCCAGTGACACCGGACATGCTCAGATCCCCCAATCTATCCTTTTCCGGCACGCCCTCCCAGCGGCGGGTCATCGTCCGCCTCGCTCGGACGTCCACGTGGCCCCGCCCTCTTCTTCGCCGCAAGCGGCGCCCGCCCGGTGTCCGAGCAGAATACGTCACCCGTCGTCGCCAGAGAGACACAGCAGAGCCAATCACTCGCGCCATCACCGATATACGATGCTGCTCCCACGACCTCCCCCGCCGCAGCCCGCCCGCGGCGCTGCACTCGCTGCACCGCCTCCAGTGCACGTGCGGCCGCTCCGACTGGTTGCCGGACCCTCCTCTTGCAGCCCCGGCGACGACGGCCGGCATGTTTTGCACGAACATTTCCGCCAATAAAAACGATCGATTTTCACGATCGGAAAGCACGGATATTGCGGGCATAGCGACCCAAGCGAACAGCACGTTCAATTTCACCTGTCTCGGCGGGTGCTCTGCAGCGCACCAAGGTTCCATCCTCCTGGCCAGCAAGTAATCTGGACCCTTTGCTCTGCACGGTTACCCGCTGCCAGTGCGCCGCTACCTGCCACTCAGACGTCGGGTACGCTCAATTAATCATTCCCGCCCAATTCATCTCGTTCGTCTAGAGCTCCGTCGTCGTCCGAGTCGTCGCACACGACCGCTCTCAAGAGCCATGTCCGCCGCGCATGACCCTCGGCAGACGCGTCCAGCGTCGACGTCGCAGCAAGCCACCACTACGCGCATCCGCCTCACGACGTCTCTCTGTCGCACCCCGAAAACAGAGGCTCCGCTTTGGCTGAACAGTTCTTCCCGCAAACGCCTGCCTCCGTTCTCCAGGGCGCGGCATCGCCCTCAGAACACCGCGTCAGCCGTCCGTCTGTCCGCTGCCTGCGCGACGAGCTTGCAAATTGTCGAACGACACCCGCACCCGGGAACCTTCGCGCACAGAGGCGATGGGGACTTACGGCCACGGCGCTGCACACAAGCTTTCGGTGGCGCATCACGAGGGGGGAGGAAGGCCTGGCAGGAGGCCTGGCACTGGTAGATTGCACCCCAGACCTGTGGTGTGTTCCGCCTGAGCTCCGCGCTGCTGCATTTCCCAAGGGGAGCTGCCACCGCCACAGGCCTGCCTGCCTGCCTGCCTGGACCTATGTGTGCATGTTTGCACACGAACAGCCTACCGTGCACCGCACCGTTGCGGTGGCTAGAACCTGCCCCTGCTGTCCGCGCACGGCTCGTGACGAGGGAGGTTATATTAGGTATGGTGCGATGCTCACTGGGAGGAATGGAATCATGCTCGGTAGGCGTTGGCGGGCGAAGCTAGAAGGAGTCGCCCGACGCCGCCGCCCTGGTATGGATCCCTCAGCAGATACGCAATATAGCTTCATTACTGTGAGACCCGTGATAGATTGCACGCCATGCTGCGCCTCGTCGCCCGCCGTCCACCCCGCCTGCCCATCGTCACTCCTCTCGCATTTCCACCAGGCACACATGCAAACGTACCTCAGGACGACCATCAAATTGCGGCCTGGCAGAACTGTGGCCTCGCGCGGAGGCACGAACTGCGACCGACGCGCATCAGCGCATGAGGGGACAAGCTGTCAAGCGGGAAGCAACCCAAGTGGTCATCTCCAAGCTATCAGAGGCGCGACAGGCGAAACTTGGCAGGCCGCCTGACGCGCCCGCTTCCCCGCGTTCCAGACCCCCCCCCCTCTCGCTCCCCGCGCCCGTCGCCCGCCGGCAATTCAACGACGGCAACCGCACGCACAACGGGAGCAGCAGTGACGGGCACGCGCCGTGCACGTCATCGCCGAAAAACCCAACCGCAGCAGCAGCAGCAGCAGCAAGCCGCGTGGCCTGGCGGCGGCGGCAGCGGCGGCCGGTCGGTAGCCTCGTGGTCCGCGCCCCGCCCTCTCTCGCAGATCCGGGTCCCACTTCTCTCTTCTCCCTTCTCCCTTCTTCTTCTCTCCTCCTTTCGTTTTTTTTTTTCGCACAACTTGTTCGGGTCCAGCGCAGATCGATGCGCCTGTCAGCACGAATTAGCAATTTGGTTGCGCGGGGCGCGCGTGGCGCGGCGCTGATGCAGGCATGCGTCCGGATGCGGCAGGTGTCGTCCCCCCGAGCGGGGCGTCCTCCCGTCTCGGCGGCGGGATGCCGTCGCGGGCATGTGTGCGCGGAGCGGGGGGAGGGTTGACTCTCAGGATTGCGAGACGGTGCGAGACGTGTCCGGAACCGAATGTGGGGTGTGTTCTTTCCTTAATATTTTCATCTTCGTCGTCCTTTTCACTTGATTTTGCGATTTGAGTTTTATCTCTCTCTTTCTTTTTCTGGCGAGACGTCGACATGCAGGACGCGTTGCAGCCCGTGCAGCCCGTCGTGTCCGCCCTGCACGTGCCCGCAAAGAGCCGGACCACGCGCCGCACGCACCAGCCCGCGAAGCTCGTACGCGTACGCAGTCTGTCGGTACCGAGGCAGCACAGCAACGGGGCGCACGAGGCGCCGGCGTCGCCAGGGGCGCGGAGGGAGGCGGGGGCAGTGCCGTCGCGCGAGTCGCTGCGCGGACGCACGTCCTGCGACAACACCAAGAGGGGAATGGATCTGTCGACTCCTCGGCAGCTCCAGTGGAAAGGGGCGAACACACATGATCTGCGGGTTGTCGCGTTTGTTGCGGCGCGTGCGGTGCCACACCGGGGTCCGTTGATGCACCACGTTTGATGCCGACCACTCGCCGCCGGTTCTGGGCAGGCTCTGTGCGCGGGGCGCGTTGGTGCGTTGGTGCGTTGTGGGCGGGCGGTGGCAGCGGGCAGAGGGATCAGACATGGTAGGGTGCGGCGTGTTGCGAATGGCGGGGAGACCTGCGAACCCGCCTGTGGACGGGCCCGCCAGCATGTGCCAACCATCGTTCTGCACAACTGCAGACATTCACGACCAGGGTCCCTGAATGCGATGCTTTTTTTTCCTAGGACGCTCACATCACGCGCACACACCGCCATCTCGGCAACGCCGCAGGAGCCTCGCGTCATCACGAAACCGCACAGATGACGCTCCCGCGGGCCACGACGCGGTTTTGATAGAAAATATATTGAGCGACTCTGTCACGCGTGCGTGTGTGTGTGTCTCCCGGCGTGTCTGGCGCGTCACGAGACAAGTGAGTGGGTGCGTTGCGTTGCGTTGTGTGCGGACGTGCACTTCGCAACCGTGCGTCCTGTGGCGCGCGCGCGCACTGCGCAATAACAGACAAAATACAAATTATCGCGGTTGCCCTGGGAGCACGCCAGGGGGCGTACGACATATTTGTTTTCGGGGCGGCATCGCGCGACAGCGATGGTGGAAGCGAGCTGCTGCTGCCACCGCCGTCATGCGAGCGACACGTCGGAGGCGGATGTGCGATCGGAGGATAGCTGGGTATATGCGGACGCGTGCGTGCGTGCGTGCGTGCGTGCGTGCGTGCGTCCATCCTGCGGCGTCGGGTTCCTTGGCGAGACACACACAATTGGCTGTGGCCCAGAACGAGTGGGCCCAGCTGTGCGCCTCCCTGCGAGCTGTCACGACACCCGCAGACGAACGTGCCAGCGCAGCCGCATCAGCCTCGCTCCGTCCAACCAGAGCACGCGCACCTGTTCGTCCTCCCGCAAAATGAAAGGCAGGGACAGCCTAGGACGGGGACGGGGTCCGTGCCAAGCTCTCGTTTCCGAGTTTGTTCTGTCTTTGTCTTTGTCTTTGCCTCTTTTTTTTTTTTTTTTTTCATTTGTCCATAGCTGATGGCCCACCGACGCAGTGGGATCCCGTGTGCGGCCCTGTGGCGCTGGGGCAGGGTCCTCGCTCGCGGGTGTGCAAGGGACAGCCGAAGGAGACAGCGTCTCGGAGGGAGGCTGGTCGCGTGACGGGCGTGGCGCGAGCCTGGAGCGCAGCTGCGGGGGGCGAGAGCTGGCGCGTTCGTGGTGCAAGGCGACGTCGCGCATGCTGCTGCTGTTGTACGTGGAAGAAACCTTGAAGGTGCCGTCGGGGCGGGCGCGGCAGCCTCTCGCTGAGAATATGACAAGGTTTCATTCCTGCACGGCAGAGGCTCGAGATGGATGTATTGTGCTTGCCGCGTTTGATGACGGGCTTGTGTGGTCGCTCGCGTCGGCCGACGGGCGGAATGTCAATGCAAGGTTCGTTCGAGCAAGCTTTCTGGGGGCTGCACAGGAGTGATGTGCGAAACGAGAGGCACGCATGAGCGAGGCAGGCCGGACGAACATGGCCGGTGGGGACTCACTTGCCTCGGGATCTCGCTGCCCACGCCTTCGGGCGAAGAGGCTTGGACCCTTTTTTCCCCAGAGGGCGCCACCTGATCGCGCATCTTGCCTCTTCGTGCGCGTCTCCCGCGGCTTCCATCCTTCTGTGCTGCTTCTATCTCTGCCCAGCGGCTTCGATCGTGGCTGTGCTTCGAATTCAGCTGCCCAGCCACCCTCTCTGCCATGTTCTCCCACGCCTGCGCGCGCGTTCTGGAACAGAAGCCACGCATGTACACATTCGCTGCCCCTCCCTCCCAAGGCGAGCAGCAGATGCTGTCGACAGACACAGCCACAGGCAGCTCGATGACCGCAGCGCGTCGCGGCATCCCGGCCGCGCAGAACGTCGCGAAGACGGTGGGAGAACGGCACCTCGTGTGCTCGAAAAAGACAATTGTGTGTGCTCGAGCGTGCTCTGCCAGCTGTCGTCTGTCTGGGAACCTTCTTTCGCGCGCGTACCGGCTGCTGCCTGTCATCAAACCCGCCCAACTGCCTCCGATCGCGCCCCCCGTCTCCTGTCCAACAAGCTCTCGTGCCCTCGCACCGTCGGCACGGGAGCATCGGCGTCTTGGCTGGCAGCGCACGCCTTTCGTGGGGTATGTATGTTCCGTCGTATGTTTTTTCTTCTGCCTCGCGATGCCCTTGTCCTCGGGTGCACTCACACGGTCGGTCGCACAGTCGGCCCTTCGGGACGGTTCGGCGAAGCCTGCGAGAAGGCTGTGCAAACACGCGACGCGACATGCCTCTAAGCGAGGGGGCTCTCTGCGGCGGACTTGGAAGCGGAGGGCCACACGCGGAGCGGTGGGCCCGAGCAGTGCACATACAGAAAAGCGTCTCACCGGGAGAGGACGATCATGACGACAGGCATCGGGGGCAGAACGGCTCGAAGGCCGCGATGACGGCACTCGGGGGTACATATTATAATGTCGAGTCTCATAACGACAACGGGCGTGGTACAAGTCAACGCGCAGTCTCGTGACACAAGCCTAGACGCGCAGTGATGCGCCCGCCCCCGCCTCGCGCGCACGCAGGCCAGACTGGCGGATCCAGATCGCCCTCGAAGCGCGAAGCTGAGGGGGTGGGGCCCGTGTCCCTGAGGGCGATTACAGGCAGACACCGATCCCGATGATGCCTCCCCACGCACGTTGCGATTTTCGCGCTAGGCTCGACATGGCAGGCGTGTCCCGCGTCCCGCTTCTTCTCTTGCCGACGTCCGTTGGCCTTTCAGGCGCGACGCGACGCGAGCCTGCACCTCCCCTGCCCAGCCGATCGACGTGCTGTGTGCCTTGGCTGGCGTCGCCTCCCGTGGAGCAATACAAAAACCCATGCACGCGCCACGCACAGGAAAAAAAAAAAAACCGCATCGGCAGGCATACGCCGTTCGTTTCTGTTCTTGAACGTCCTGTCCGCTGCATGCGCCTGCTGACCCGCCGTTTCTGCCAGGAAGACGTGCGTTGACAGCTGAAACAGCTTCGTGTGCGTGCGTACCGCCGCAGTCTCCCTAAGCCTCGGGCGGGGTGGTGCAATGCCGCCCCTGCCGCCGCCCTTGGCCGCTGTTCGGCTGTGCCAGCGGGCAGCCGGTGACGTCTGACAGGACGGTACGATCGCGGCGAGGCACGACGGCGACAGCGCGCACGGAAAAAGCGTGCGTCGCGGCCAACGGCGCGTCAGCACGCCCCCCACCACCACCACCACCACCACTGGCGGCCTGGACGAAAGGGCCCACCACCTGACCCGCCGCGCCACGATTTTGCGCCCGTCGGCGATCCCGCGCGGCGCGCCCCAATCGGGGAAACCGCCGTCATCACCACCCTCTTTTCTGCGCGCGCTCCCGCCGCCGCCGCCGCCGCAGCCGTCGCCAGTTCGTCACACACCAAGCCCGCCAAGCGTCGTCGATCATGTTGCGCCTCCCCCCTCCCTTTCGGGACCGATAGAGCTGCACGAGGTCCGCGGAAGCGGAGACGCGATCTCCATGCATTGCACGGATGGTGCCTGGGACGATGATCAGCCTGCGATTTCCTCCGGTTCTCTCTCGCCGCGCCGCCGTCGATCGCGACAGGACGAGGCCCAGCCAGCCAGAGCGAGAGAGAGACGTACCTGGCCTGTGGAGGGGTGGGGGGTCAAAGGTCCCCGCCGCACGACCAGAGACGTAATCTCTCGTCCTCGGGCGGACGGACGCCCGACGCCGTTATGTCGATAGTCTGCACGTGCATGCACGCACGCACGGGCGGGCCTTGCGCACACACACGATAAGGCGATAAGTGGGTTGCCCACTGGCAGCAGGGCCCCAAGGCACGGGCGCGCGCATCGGGACTGGTGGAAGCGGAGGACCAAAAGGGCACAAAGGGTCCGGCGCAAGAACGCAAAGCAGGGGCCAAACAATTTCCTGCTTCGAGGCGCGGGCGGGCGGGCCCCAAGCCCTCACTGCCCCCCCCCCCCCTTCTCCCCACCAAGCACCAGCGCGCGCGGCGGGTGAGTCCTGGCCTCGCCTCGACGGGTCACATGCAGAAGCTTGTTTTTTTTAGGCTTCCGCGGTCGGAGCGCGCGTGCAGCTGCTAGCGTGGTTTGCGCTGGGCGGGGGCACGTCGACGGACAGGGCGCAGCGCGACGGAGACTGCTGCTGAGTCTTTTCGTGGAAAGATGGCCAACCCGCCTGGCGCGGTTTCGCCAGGGCTGTATGCTCATCTGTAACAGCCGTCCGTCGCCCCCCCCCCCCCTCCCCCTTCCCGTGCGCGCCGTCTCCGCGGACTGGCCTGGCCTAGCATCGGGCACCGCTCGGAAGCGGAGTGGGTTGTCTCTTCGTGGTTAAAGTTCTGGAAACCTTCGGCCGAGGAGAGACATCCGACGATGCTCTTCTACCCTGTGAATGCCGCCGTGTTATCATTGGTGTCTTGTCTGCTCCGGCACAGATAGCTACCTTGACATAGATAACCACCTCGACATCTGTGTTTCTTGGCTACGGCGATGCCGGAACGAGAGAAGCTTCCGTAGACGTCAGAAGACGCGAGGGTGGTACGAGAGAGCAACGCATCGTCGGCTGGGCCGGTTGCTGCGCTCCGTGGAGGTCCTGCATCTCCTTTGGGCAGGTAATGCGACGACAGGCCCCGTAAAAACCGGCATGAGGACAAGCGTCATGTTTATGGCAACGGGGACCAGGACAAGCTCCCAGGCGCCCGGTAGTTTTATGGCGTTGCGGGAGAGACCGCCTGTTCCCTCTCAGACCTCGAGAAACACGCGCATGTCTCGATCTCCGCGGACGACAGTCATCACGGCGCGCAGGACCGAATGATTCAAAGCGTGCGCAGGCGCACGTGGGGGAGGTCCCGGCCACGCCTGCGTCTGCGACACTCTGTCGCTCGGAAGAACTATACCCTGTGCATGAAGTGTACACCCAGGCGCGCCAGTTTTTTTCTTGTGACGCGCGACACAGCCTTTTGTGTGCAGACGTCCCGGAACCCTTTACCGCTGGAGACCAGCGTGCAGCTGGTACGAAAGCATCTGTGAGCTTTGACTGTCCCTGCAGTCAGTGCTCCTGGTAGCCCTGCATGGGCGCTAGGGATGGACTTTGTGGCGCGGATGTCGCCGAAGTTCATCCGCAACGGCTTGTCTTAGATCTCTCGGGCATGTCTCGAAGAGCGCCGGACGGACGGCCGTGTCATTGAGCCAAAAAAAGAACGGACAGGCGAGTGTGCCGAGGCGACCGAAGTTTCGCAGTTGCCGCTGACTGCCACTCCAGCGACGCTGGTTGAAGCCGCGCGCTTGTGCAGGCCTCAGGACTGCTGCACCCTCGGGCACTCCGGTCACGCCAGTCAGTGACTCAGATTAGGTCGCTTTGCTGATTTAAGATGCTTGCTAACAATAACACTGTACGTATTGCAAGTTTCACTTACCGGGTATGACGCGCACGCCGGGCTCTGCTCGGCACTTGCCATGCTGTGCTGCATGGGCACGAATGCCGGGACGACGCTGCGCCGTCGTCGCTTTAAACTTTCAGGCGCAATTGAAGCGTGCATACAGAGCCTACAATCGAAACATTGATGTTTGACAGGCCAAGTCGGGACTACACAAACACGCGAACTGGGCGCAATCTCCGTCCGCTTGGATCTCCTCACTCGAGGCCCACGGCACTGCATCAACATGCGCCACAATGAGAGTGACACGCCGAGGCCGCCGCTGTTCGGTCGCCGTCTTCCAAGCGTTTTTTTTCTGTGACAGGACACCTGAAGTTTGAAAAAATTTTGCAGCATGTTCGGGATCGGCTGCTGCCACGGCACACGGAAGTTGCGCTGCCCCATATGTTGTTATGTGCGCTGTGGCCAGCACACGGCGACCCGTGCCCCGAGCGTGCACTTGGGCGTCGTGACGAGGATAAAACGCGCCCTTGTAGCTGACCGATGTCCCGATGGCGACGGACGCGGCTGGCTGGGCCGGGCTGGCGCAGCCCGCGCGGATCGGATGCGCCCGATGCCAGCGGTGGCGAGTGTGGGTCGATCGTCGATGCACGGGCGAGAGCACACACACGCTTTTTTTGCGACCTAGACGCCCGATATTTCCAGCAGCGCGGCAACCTGCTTTTATCAAGGACGACGGGGAAGCACGGTCCGGCGAGGGAGCCTGGTAGCCGGAGATAGAACGGGCTGTCGCAGTCAAGAGCCCGTGTGCTCGATCGAGGAGAAGGCGGCTGGGGTGCGTGATGACACCATGAGAAGGCGTACCGGCAAGGAAGCATCCAGTCTTCTCAGTCGTGGCGACGTTTTGCGCTTCAGCTGCCGGCAGTGCGTAGACTCGGTCAGAGACAGGATGAGAAGGAAGCCTACATTCAATAGGAACAGTCTAGGTACGGCATCTCTACATACCTGGGGCTTTCCGGCCATCTAAGGGGTTCGTAAAGCAGCGTACACTTGGTATGCATCCAAGATGTCAGCTTTCACAGGGACTAACGCAATCTGTCTGTTCCGATGGCCTGAATACCTCGCCCACGATGTAGCTGCACAAAATGACGTTAGATTAAGGTCTAGAAAGATCCGAGTCAGTATGGCGGTGGATCGCGCTGGCTCGCAATAAGGCCGCAGTAACTCATATAGTATGCCTTGAGAAGACAGACAAGGCCTGGTGGTCTAGTGGTATGATTCCTTCTTAGGGTGGTTGTGGTCTCACAGTCACGTGACTCTCATGGAGGAGGTCCCGGGTTCGATCCCCGGCTAGGCCCTTACTTTTTATTTTTCTTTCTTTCAGCTCATGAGACTCTTTTTCCTGTTTATCTTCTCAGCTACATGGATTTGGAGCATACCACAGTCGAATATAACCTTTATTTACCGTTATATATGCCGTTTGTTTGGTTTTGCAAAAGGACACCGAGCGGTTTGTTCCTTCCGAATCAGCAGATGTTCGGGGCGCTGCTAGTGAGCGCTCGAGCTAAGGTGAGACCATGGGTTAATTTCCCACAGTAAAGCCCAGCTCTCATACATCGCCATTGAATCTTTTTCGACACAACGACAAGCAAAGATAAGCGAGTCGGGCTCCGCAAAGCTCGCTGGTAGCTGCTCATTTCGTCCGAGAACCGTTTTGTACCCTTTGAGCGGCCAGGTGTAACATCGACAAAGGCGTGACCCTCCGCTGGACAACCGCCGCGCGTCCATCGTTAGCGAGCTTAGAGATAGTCTTCAGATGTCAACAGGATGTCGCTGCTAACAGTGACTGCCGCGCATGGCGTTTAGTTCTCGCGCGAAAAATTAATGTATGTGTACAAGTGAGCATATAATATAGTGTAGAGCGTACATACATGAGGAGTACTAGTCTAGGGAAATGAGATGTACATCGGGGAGAGAGCTCTAGCTGCCCAACCCTTCTTTGAAGACATAAGGTCATGTAGCTATCGAAACCGTATATTGTCGCCGACATCGAGCCGTTTATGAATCCCAAAGAGGGCCGAAGGAGTGCATACCGTTCTCCTTACAACCCTGCATGAGCTCCTCGTTGCCTTGAGGGTTAGAAGTAATGATAACGACTACGAAACAGCTATCAGTACTGTCACCATTTGGCCGGAGAATCGAGAAACTCACCCTCAGCCTTGAAGGCGACATAGACATCCTTGAGCATCTTCATCGTGTCTGGGCGGCGGCCTTCCTTCTTGGTGTCAAAGAGGATGTAGCGCTCCTTGGGGATCGTGCGGTGGATCATGTCGAAGAGAATCGGGCCAAAGGTCTTCTCCATATCCGAACCGATCCAAATCAAGAACCAGTTGTCGAGCTGCACCGCAGTGGAACACACGGCGCCGATACCAGAGCCTGTGCAGATGACGATGCCGCGTCGATAGAGGTGGCACAGGTAGGGCAGGCCGGCGAACTGTTAGAGTGTGTCAGTCGTGGACCGATGGCAAGAAGAGGGTATTTTGCACCTTCATCTCGCGAGTGTAGAGGTACTTCGGTGGGTCAGAGACGAGACCGCGGGTCCAGTCGCCCTGAACACCGGCAACGATGTAGTGTGTATTGCTCTCGACGCCCTCGGAGATGATACCAAAGCCGTGGTACTCCATGATTGGGCTGCGGCTAACACGACCGAGCAGACCTTGTTGGATACCCTTCTTGAACTTGATGATGGCGACACGAGGCGAGGGAGTCGTGATCTCTACTGGAACCTTGCGCACGGTGAGCCAGGGAATAGCGATGCTGGACGCCGACAGATAGGACTCAGCGATGGGTCTAGCGGCGATGTAACATGGTACTCACAGGATGGTTATGAAGAGCGCATACCAGAATTCTTGCGTGCTGGCCAGGTGGTTGCCGTTGCTGTGGAAGGCGCCTGTTGTGGTGTTGTAGCTATCGGCAAGACAGACGAAGATCCAGACGAAAACTACCGAAAACCAGCCGGCGAAGCGGTGGTGGCGCTCGAAGAAGCTGTGTAGGACATCGTGTGAGCGAGTGACATATACAATCTCCACGATGAATACTCACTTGTGGTGGTGGGCACGGATCCAGGGAGCCGCAGCGACCATTGTGACCCAGACCACGACCAGCGTAATGATACCCCAGGCCAGAACCACCGCGGGAGTGTGTTTAGCAACATGATGCTGGAAGGTGCGGATGACCAGGAACATGAACCAGGCAACACCCGCCGCGGCAGTGCCGGAGTGAATACCGCCGATGTGCTGAATGAAAGCCGTGAGGAAATTACGCCACCAGAGTGGAGTCCACTGAGGGAGACGTCAGCGAGGCGGCTTCACCAGCTGCATAAAAGTTGCATACCTTCGCAGAAGACCAGACGAGAGGCCAATAGATGAAATAACGAAGGAAAAACTCATTGCGGCAAGCGACTGCGGCAGTAAGGTTACCAAGGGCGAGAGCGGCGGCATGATTTTCGGCATAGCCCCAGTAATGAGTGCACGCAACCACAATGGCAATCATGTTGAGAGCAAACGAGGTCGTGAACATCTATAATTGCCATGATTCACATTGGCCGTGTTCGGAGGAGCGAGGGACTCCATGCGACGCACCATGCGATAAGGATTATACCAGACCCTAAACCTGATCCAAAGGCTTGGCTTCTTGAGCAGGGCATTCTTCCTTCCCTTCTCGAGAGCGGGAACAATATAGCTGGCCAACGCCTTCTCGTCGTCCAGAATGGAGCCCTCTGCCTTCTCCGCGTCGTGAACGGAGGGTGCACAGGAGCTCTCGCTGCTCTCGGTGCCCTCGACCATGTTGACAGTGACCTGCGTCTTCTCCTTCTCACCGTCAGGGAGCTTGGAGGAGGAAAAGACAGCACCGGTGGCGGAAGGTGGGTGACCGGTCATTGTGCTGGAAGTGCGGTTCACAGAGGAGTCCCTGGTTCAGCTGGGTTTGCTGATGGCTCTTCACCGTCCATCTCATCTCGCTTTTATAGCGTTTCTCCAGGCTTTCGGCCTGTGCAAGAGGCTGTTATCTCGTGCTTGGAGAAATCTGCGTGATAGACAACCTGTCAGAGCACGCAACGCCTGTGTGTCCTGCACCACATACCACAGTCGCCCAAATTTTCTGAAAAGGCTGCCAGTTTAGGCCAGATCAGAATTTTGCGCCTTGTGGTGCCCGCGTTGCCCAGCCACGCGAGGGAGTTTCCCATCAGCCAAGCTTGTGAAGGATCGACGACGCCGAAAAAAGACCAGGGTGTATATACCCGTCTCCCTTCAAACTATGTCAAAATCAATGTCAATCATGCGACAAGGCGACAATGCATGCTCACCGAACGAGGCGGCGAAATGAGGAGAACGGACAGTAGGTTTGAAAGCCCCGTAATCGTCGGAAAGGCAGGGGATAGTCTATCAACTTAATTTGCAGCAGTTGAGTTAGGCGCGATGGCAGGCACAGCACTCAGGATGCCTCAGAGGTCTTCGTGGCTTCGAGGTAATCGTCCGCCAAGATCGACAGAAGGCTCTATCTTTCAAAAAGCACCTGCTTCGACCCTACGGTGGGAAGATTTGTGGAAGGTAGCGCATGCTCAAGAAGCTGTGAAGCGCGGGCATCGCACCCTCCGCTGTCCTGGATTGAACAGGACCAGACGTGCATTACAAACTGTCCGTGTCAGAGTCACAAATTCCCTGCCTGATTGCCTCAGATCGGGCCAAGGCGGAAGCAAAGTCGCGACGTGCCTGTGTCCACCCCTAGGTCGATTTCCCTTTCGGAACGAAGCAGCAGGTCGGCGAAAGTCTGTAGCCCGATAACTGTCTTGACTCCGGTCCTTCGACTAGGCAAACCTGTAGTACAGCATAGTCTCGTTAGCACTGTTAATGAACAGAAAAATGGTGCTACAAGCACTTGTTTCGCCAGCTCATGATCACAAAGCCGCCGCCGACCGTTATACACGGTGCTCGGAGGGAAAGGAATACCAGCATCTCTGCCTGCATCTAGCATTATGAGAACCAGAAGGGTATGTATACATAGCACACCGGGGTATCATCCTTGGGAATCATACAGCTCGGAGAAGAAGAAATCACTATTCGTCGGCGGATGTCCTGCATGTATGCCGCTCGGTATCTCGGCCTTGTCTCCGGACAAATCTGGTGCGCGCAAGTACGTCAGTCTGCCGAACAAGCACGCGATAAAAAGATAACACCCACTCAACAGTCTTATCTTCAGTCCAATCTCTGTCAAGGCCTGCACAAATGTCTGCGTCTCGTTTGATGCCACGTGTCCACCATCTCGCCTGAGCATGTTCATGCCATCAACCCAGTCCGCCCAGCGCGATTGATCCGGGGCGATTAAGTCGGCTAACGAGGACCCGCTCGACGTCAACAGGGAGAAGGATAGAGGCGACGCCGCGGTGTGATACCCGGCGGTGAAGTCCACAGGATCTCCGCCGCGCAGCACGGCTTGCGGGAACGGAGCACATGTGTTGGTCGTTACCTCGCTGATCAATGATACGTCGATCCGATCTGGCAAGTCCTCGATACCATTCCGGAGAACGAATTTGACTTGGCTGTCCACGAAGTGTATGTACTTCATGTTGGGATCCTGTCGCCATACCCGTGTCAGATGGTGCAGACAACGAAAGAGAGCCGGATCATACTAGTCGCATGAATTTCCAAGGACAAGAGGGTTTCCGAATCGTATCACGGGGGGTGTTGGAGGCCAGTGGCATTGCATTCATGAACCATGCACCCTGCATCAGGCAGTGTATCCGTTGTCGACGAACGAACTCGAAGGATTCTTTGTAGAGTTTCGCACGCATGTTTCTGGAAGAAGTCAGCGCGACATACCAGCAATGACTGTATGGAACACCTACCGTATTGGCACCTTGCTCATCACATCATCCTCGAGCTCGAGCTCGCGCATCTGCCGGTCTCGCACCGCCTGATATTCGCACTCGTTGAAGTCGGACTCAACCTCGTGCCACGCCCGTACGTTTTCTGTTCGCAGCGCTACCTTCACTCTGTTCGGCAACAGTTAGTCCTCTCACACAAGGCTACAGCCCAGGCACATATACTCACTGGCTACGCACAAGCGCAGCAACGCGGGAGAAATCACCGTGGGTAGCGGCGCTTTCGTTCCACATACGGAGAAAGAAGTGGGTCGCAAGATCATGAACCTTGTAAAAGTTTAGGAAGAATGGCTGGAAGGTCGTCGACGTTGAATCTTTGCAGGTGACAACGCTTCAGATATAAGGTCGCAAGTGAGATGCCTGGCGAACTTACATCCAGGTCCAAAGATGGCCCAGTGCTCAGATAGCAGATCGACCACCTCGTTCGACGCCTTCGCGATAGGACATCGCCTCTCAGGAGGCCGACTGAGCTGCTCTTGAATAACCTAAAAACGAATGCTCAGCGGAGCCGAGCTGGTACAGGGCTACGCACAAGAAGATCGTACCTTTGCAAAGAAATCAGGGTCTTGTGTGATGCAATGCTTCTGGTACGGCATATATCAGCATGCTTTGTTCCCATCTTGGTCCTTGCATCGTTGTAGGTATGTATACTCACAAAGCAGTCCAAACCAAGCACGCCGACTTCCTTAAACTCCTGTGAAAGGTCTTCACTGTCGAACCCAAGCTTCCGCCACTTGAGCGTCCCGCCCTCGCCAGCAGGCTCTTCGTGTACTTGGCTGCTGGTCCAGATGTACGCGAGGGACTCAAAGTGGCCCGGCTCGAATTCTGGTTCTACGACAGTGATCTTCTTGCGGTAGGTCACGCGCACCATGTTGGCTTGGAAATCCAAGATGCACGACGTCAAGTCTTCGATGGTATGTGATGACATTAGTCGCTGTGTTCATTAGTCTCCTCCATTAGATCGGAACTATTTCCGTAAGGAGGGAGAAGCACACACAATTACGGCTTTGCGGACATTCAGCCGCTCGATCTCTCCAACGAACTCTTCCCACCGTGCATCGCCTGCGTGGGCCAGCAATGAGTTGATCAACATCATACTTCGCACGATGTCATGAGTTATAGAGCGTCAGTAGTAAAATAGCATTTAGCGCACCTGTATAGCGCCATAGTCGTATCTGCACTCCCCAATCGACTGACAACCGTCTCCAGCAACCTCTGTTCCTTCCTCATCTGCTCGTACACGACCTCGAACCCGAACTTGTAAACCGACCCCGGCGGCTGGAATGGCGGCGACCTGCTCGAGCTAGCTAGTTGCGGGCCTGGAGCAGTCATTGGGTCTGCCTCGACGAGCTTCTTGAGGATTGCTGTCGCAGGTCGGCAGACGTTGATGAGGGAATTGGGCGATGAGAGAATTTGAACAACGCGGAAGATGAAATCGTCGGTGAGTTCGGACCAGCCGTGGTCGAGCTCCATCAAGTTCTGCATGGCCGTCAAAGCATACTAAGAGGCGCATTTTCAGTCCCTTTCACTGCTGTAAGGGCTACCGCAACGCACCGCAAGGATGTTTCCCTGATTGGTGTTGATAATGCCAATGAGCTCGTGAAGACCATCCTTGTTCAGAAACTCTTCCGCAAATTGCTCTTCCTGAAAACGTTCAAGTTCGCTGCCCCTTCGCTACGGCAGTATGAAACTTACACGGATGATCTTTCGCAGTGAGGTGAGTGTGATACCCAATCTATCTCTTGCCTGGAGCTTGGTAATAATTTCCGCAGCTTCAACAGCAGGCGAGCTGACAAGCCTATGTCATGGTGTCAGACGGAAATTGTCCATGCCACAGGTGGGCAGCGACTTGGATTGCGAACTCACTCACTTCAAGTTGGTCTTCTGCTTGATCTTTTTCTTCAAGTTCTCGTTTGTCACCAACTCCTCATTCTCATCTCGCAGCGCATACATGTTAGGTGGGTCCTTAATCTTGACGCTGATACACAGTTGGCGAACGACATCTTCGACTGCAAGTGTCGCCTCGATACGGACGCGGACGGTCGTACCATCTTGAAGGGTGACGCTGTTCGTAGGAACAAGCCTAGGCTTGCTGGCGGGTGATGACGACGACGGATTCGGTGAATGGGATTGGGATGGCGACTTGGCGTTGTGGGATAGAGAGCTAGACGAGGGCGGGTTGAGCGTTGGACTCAGGCGGTTTGCGGACATCGGAGCTTCGCTGACTTCTGTGGGCAGGTCCACGTCAGTCATGAGAGTTCACGAGATAGAAGTATAAGAGAAAGAATGTTGGGATAAAGTAGCAGAGGGCGCAGCGGCGGTGCTCTAGACACCGAGTGCTTGCGCTGATCCGCGCCTCCACCATCATTCTCGGAGAGTGCGCTCTGCAAGATTTCCGACAACTCTCCCATCTACCTTGATCCTCTTGATACGCCCGAGAAGGCGAGCGGAGATCGACAGCCCATCCTTTCCCACCTCTAGAGACCAACTGGGCTGTGACGTCGCCGAGAGCCTGGAAACTGACCTGGATTACAAGGAGTCGGGTTGTGTACGTTTAATATTCGACGGTCAACGTCAAGGATGTTTCCTGGATTAAGACCGGTCTCATTGATGAGCAACATGCATCTTTGAAGATTGTAAAAAGAGGAAAGCCCGATCGGCTGGAGGGTGGAGAAGACGTTATGCCGAGACTTCTGGCCAGTCGGTGTTTACGGACGCTAGTTCCAACAGAGTTATCCACCTGAGCAGTAGGTGTATCCTCTTTCCTGGCTCTCTGTGATGCCTGAAAGTTGCTCCATGTCTCACTCCAACCAGACACAGCACGCGGGGGTGTAAATGAACTTGAGACTCACCCGCTAAAGTACGTTGTCACGCGCCACACCTGTTCTCGATGGCTGCTTGTGGAAGCGGAGGTTGGCCAGAAGGTTGATGAAGTAGAGTGAGGGGCCAAGCTGGCGAAGGGTCGCTAATAAGTTAATTGAGCACAGCCCCAACCAGGACCACGATGCCCAGAAGAGTGAGACGTAGTTCAGTAAGGAGTGTACGGGACGATTATCTGGGTTGAATACAGGACAAGGACTGCCGAAGGAAGCGCAGGACGTGGTGGTCGTCAGCTCGAGAGTCGAGCGAGCGAAAGCTGTCCTAGGACTAGGGCGCTTTGCGACAAGAATACTGTGCCTAACTTTAGACGCCTCATTCGTGAAGCTCGCGACGTTTTCATGATCATGCAAGTACTACTTTGTCTCAAACAATCTCTTCCCTAAACGCAAGTTGTGCACTTTCTACGCGATCCAGCTGCGCATAGAAACGTTGAAGAATGTAGGGAGCTACCATCACTTGTAGAACATGTTATCGACAAGTTCCTAACGTTATGCGGCGTGTTCTGCAAGACCGACAACAGTTCAGATCGTTCAGGCTGTCCACAGAGGTCCAGAGCTATTGCCACACGCAAGTACAGCATCTCTGCGTTTTAAGACAGGTCAGTCTGCTCTAGTCACTAAAGCCTCGACACCTGTCAAGTACTCACTCCCCCAATGGGCTGGGTGTCGCGCATTGTTCGTCGCATTTACGAAGGTTCTTTTACGTGGTTGTAGTGTTCCAGGAAGGTGTAACCAGCATTAAGTCTCTTCTTCGTTGTAGAGATGACAGTAACTGAATTTCCTGGTTGCTCGTTGTGTCGCCTCCCTGGCCGTCGCATGATCCAGAGCCCTCGGCGTTCTCACAGTCGCCCAGCGTTGACACGGGAGCGTCTGACAACGGTTTGCGCGTATGTTCCGAGCCTATGCGCGCCGTGCGATGCAGGAAGCCCGTATGTCAGCGACAGCAGCCTACGGCGCCCCCAGCCAAGTCGGCTCTGGTGAAAAGATTTTTGTGACCTGGTCTCTTCCCGTGCATTTCCAGCACGCCTGGACCAGCGCGACGCGAGGTCGAGCTCGCGGTGTCGGCGGGCCGTTACTCCGATGTGCCGAAAGGCGCCTGCGGAACATGGGAGACCGACAGACGAATCGTCGCACAGGCTCAATAGACGAGCCCTGCTCTTTGATTCGTCCGCTCCAAGGCTCAACGTTTAATAACGCTTCCCCAGGCTTCCCCAGGGCATTCCCCGAAAATTCCCCACACTCCCGGAGCCAGAACGCTCCGCAGATCGATCGAGACCGAGGCAATCTACTTACGCTCGGTCGGTACTTACAGCACGAGTTCTCATTGGTCCCAGCTCCTATAAATTTCGTCGTATCGCACACGGAGCCTCTTGCTCTCACCCTCCACCCTCCTAAACATCTCCTACATCGCTCTCGTCGACATGGCCGACGCGCCCCTCTTCTTGGGTCTCGACCTTTCTACTCAAGGCCTCAAGGCGGTCCTCATCACAGAGGACGCACAGGTCGCACACGAATCTGCTGTCAACTTTGACAAGGAACTCCCTCAGTATGGCACTACGAACGGTGCCATCAAAGGACCCGACGAAGGCGAAGTCACGTCGCCTGTTAAGATGTGGCTTGAAGCCATGGATCTCATCGTCAACAAAATGAAAACCGCGGGTGTCGACCTTGGCCGCATCATGGCCATCTCAGGCGACGGTCAGGTGCGCAGCTCTGTCGCGCTCGTAACCGATCCTGTGTCTCATCTGACGTCAAATGCATTTTTAGCAACACGGCTCCGTGTACTGGTCAAACGACGCCGAAAATCTTCTCTCAGGTTTAAACCCGTCCAAGGGTCTGGCTGAGCAGCTGTCTCCCACTGCATTCACCTTCCAACGCTCTCCTATCTGGCAAGACTCGTCTACCACTCGTGACTGTCGCGAGCTTGAGGAGTTTGTAGGCGGTCCGCAGGTTTTGGCAGACATCACCGGCAGCCGCGCCTATGAGCGATTCACAGGAAACCAGATTCGTCGAGTGCGTGTCTCTCCTATCTTCTTCCTCTAAACCGATATTGATGCGTGTCCACTCTAGCTCCGCCGCCTCTATCCTGCAAGCTATGCTGCTACTGCGCGTATCTCTCTCGTATCTTCATTCATGCCTTCGCTTTTCATCGGATCGATTGCTCCGATCGAAGTTTCGGATGCCAGCGGGATGAACCTTATGAACGTTCTCACTTGCAAGTGGGAAGACAAACTGCTCGAGTTCTGTGGTGGTCTCGAGCTCCGCCAGAAAATTGGTCCCGAGCCTGTTCCCGGTGGCACTGTTCTAGGCAACATCAGCAGCTACTGGGTAGAGCGGTACGGCTTCAGCCCGCAGTGCCACATTGCCCCGTTCACAGGCGACAACCCTGCCACCGTGGTAGCCCTTTCTTCTCCGGGAGATGCCATTCTTTCTCTCGGCACTTCTACGACTCTGCTTCTCAGCATCCCGCCAACTACCGAACCACCGAAGCGCTTCACCTCTTCACATCTCCTCTCCCATCCTACGACCCTGGATGCCCACATCGCCATGCTCTGCTACAAGAACGGCGCGCTCGCCCGCGAGCAGGTTCGCGACAAGTACGCGCAGGGCAACTGGCAAAAGTTCAACGAGCTCGTTGAAGCGACACCGGCGGGCAACGACGGCCTCCTCGGATACTACTTCCCGCTTCCGGAGATTATCCCTCCGAACGTCGAAGGCACTTTCCTCTTCGATAAGGATGGCCGACCTGTCGAAGAGGCATCCGCGAACTCGAGCGTGCATCCCCGTGCGATCCTCGAGTCACAGTTCCTCTCGATCCGCTCACGCATCGAGGCCATCCTGCCAGAGCACGCTCCGCCGCTGCAGCGGCTCGTCGTCTGCGGCGGTTCGTCCGCGAACCCGGTCATCCGGCAGCTCGCAGCGGACGCCTTCGGCATGCGCGTGTTCATCGCGGGCCAGCAGGGCGCAGCCGAGGGCGGCGCGCACCTCGCGCGCTTTGCATGGTGGCGCGAGCAGAACGGCGGGCGCGGCACGTTTGAGGAGCTCCAGGCGATGGACGGCGACGAGGATGAGGAGGGGGAAGAGCGCCTCAAGCTCGTCGCGGAGCCGAACCCTAAAAACGTTGATCTCTACCACAGCTTGGTCCCTATGTACCGGCGGTGCGAGGATGAGGTCGTCAGGAGGTGCGACGCGTCGCTTTCAGACCCCTCCATTTAGGACATTGGTTGTGCATTTCTCTTTTCACAGCTCTCGTAGACGTTTGATATCGGGATGTAACATTACACATAGACTGTCCCTTTCGTGCACATACCGCAGTGTCTATTACGTACATGAAAACATTGAAGTTACCTTTCAGACCATTGCCAGGACATGAGGCCTTGATGTACCCGCCAGACCATTCCTGTCGCTTGACATGAGTCCGCCTTTCCCCATGAGCATTAGAGCTCCTATCTTTGCAAATAAAGCTTTAGGCTTCATAAAGCGTCATCTAGCCTATGTCACTAGCTGCCTGCCGCGCGGCTGGCCGGTCGCTTCGTATGATGGGAGACTTCGGCGCTGCGACTCGGACTCGGACTCCGAGAGTTGGGGAACGCCAGAGACGAGACGCACCGAGAGCCTCGCAGTTCCAAGTTCTCGGGATGTTCGGTACCAGAGAAAAGGGGCCATTCAGGCAAGCCAGAGGCTTGGTAGAGGTAAAAGACATGTCTGGAGACAACGAGGCAGATGACGGCAAGCAAGACGGCAAGCGCAGAGCCCTCGTTTACAGGCGCTTATGGGTAAATAAGACCACTTTCCCGCATGACGCTCGATTGACTCCTTCCCCTCCCCCATTCCTTCTTCCCCAGCCTCTCCGTGTCTCGACTTTAAAATTAGACGACTTTGTAATTAATACCCCGGCTGGAACATCCTTTACGACTCTCTAATCGTCATGAAAATCTCCAAAAAGATTCAGCAAGCTGAGAAGGAGGGGCGTGTGTGGTGGTCCTTTGAGTACTTCCCACCACGTACTGCTCAGGTGCGTACATGGACTCTGATGCCACCCTACCTGCTTATACTGAATTGTTAGGGTCTGCAAAACCTCTTGGACCGTATCGAGCGCATGCGTGCGTTGGGTCCCGAATTTGTAGACATCACATGGTAAGGACGGCCTTCCGTCTTGGCTGCTCAGTATAGCTCAATGGGCATCCGCAGGAATGCCGGCGGTCGTACTTCAGACTTGACTTCCGAATTGGTGAAGACATGCCAGGGTTTGATAGGCACGGAGACATGCATGCATCTCACTTGCACCAACATGCCGACGGAGAAGATCGACGTTGCGCTTCGCGTACGTGCCATACTCCACTTGCACACAGTCCGTTCTACTTACTTTGCCCCTGCAGGAAGCCAAGTCCCACGGCTGCAGGAACATCTTGGCATTGCGTGGGGACCCGCCAATGGGCAAGGACGAGTGGGAAGCTGTAGAAGGTGGATTCGTTCACGGCATCGATCTCGTCCAGCACATTCGTAAAGAATACGGCGATTATTTCGACATTGCTGTTGCAGGCTTCCCCCAGCATGTGACGTTGCCGCCCGAGGAACGCGACCAGGAGATTCAGTGGCTAAAGGAGAAGGTTGACGCCGGTGCCGACTTCATCTTCACGCAGATGTTCTATGACGTCGAGATATTCATCGAGTGGGTGAAACAGGTGCGTGCGGCGGGTATAACAATTCCCATCGTCCCCGGCATCGCACCCATACAAACATGGAACGGCTTCATTAAATCGACTACCCTTTCCGGGACGACTATCCCACAACTCGTAAGGGACCAGCTCGAGCCTTTCAAGAACAATGACGAGAAGGTCCGTGAGATCGGCATCAAACTTGTTGCAGATATGTGCCGTCGCATCCTCGCTGAGCCCCTCGGCGTTCGTGGTCTGCACTTCTACACGATGAACCTCGAGAAGGGAACTCGCATGCTGCTCGAAGAGCTCAAGCTCGTACCCCGCGTCGAAGTCGTTAAGCCTCTGCCCTGGCGACAGTCGCTCACCCCCAACCGCCGCACTGAGACAATCCGCCCCATCTTTTGGGCGAACCGTACCAAGTCGTACCTTTCCCGCACCGAGAACTGGGACGAATACCCCAACGGCCGGTTTGGAGACTCGCGTTCTCCCGCGTACGGCGAGCTCGACGGCTACGGCATCTGGATCAAGCAGTCGGTAAGTGCGCTCAAGTTTGCCGCCTTGTGCCGCGTGGCTGACCAGCTGAGCAGAGGGAAGAGGCGCTCAAACTCTGGGACCATCCCGCCACCATCGAGGACATTTCGAATCTGTTTGCGAAATTTTGTTTGGGAAAGCTCCCTGCGCTCCCGTGGTCGGATTCGTCGCCGTCTCCTGAAACGTCGGTCATCTCCGGACAGCTCGCTAAACTGAACGAGCTGGGTTTCATGACGATCAACTCGCAGCCCGCCGTAGATGGCGTGCGGAGCGATGACAAGGTTCACGGTTGGGGCCCCTCTAACGGCTATGTTTACCAGAAGGTTAGTACCTTATCAGTATTCAAATTAAAACGGTGAAGCTAACGACATGTCAGGCGTACCTCGAATTCTTCGTCTCGCCGGAGCTTCTAGAGTGTCTCATCCCTCACATTGAGCGCGATCATATGATCACGTACTATGTCATTAACAGGCGCGGCGACCTGCGGACGAACAGCCACTCCGACGGCCCCAACGCTGTTACCTGGGGTGTCTTCCCTGGTAAGGAGATCATCCAGCCGACCATCGTGGAAGCTATCAGCTTCATGGCATGGAAGGTAAGCTCCTCGCAATTGCTTACAAGTGCACATGGCTGACGGCCGGCGTCTAGGATGAAGCTTATGAGCTCGGCCGACAGTGGGCTAAGTACTATGAGCCCGATTCGCCCCCACGCCAGCTGATCACGAAGATCATGGACACGTATTTCCTCGTCAACGTCGTACACAACGACTTCAAGCAGCCGAGCGCCATCTTCGAGCCTTTCATCAAGGCCGGCGCCGACTTCATTGCCAAGCACGGCAAATCACCTGTCCTCAACGGACACACCAACGGATACGCCACCGGGCACGTGAACGGGCATGCAAATGGTCATGCCAATGGAAACGCTCATTGATCCCCTCATCTGGATATGTCTCTACTCTACTGACCATTTTTTCTTGTCTCAACACACTCTCGGCTTTGCGGTCGGGTTGCTCTATTTTTTTCCAAGCATCACCCACCGGGTTCAACCCCCGATACGTTTCTTCACTGGGTTTTGAACTTAGCAATTGTTTCTGCTTCATGTCGCGCATATTCATCTCTACACTGTACTTATCCATACACACCATATTCTCGCTTCCCCTGCATCAACTGCATAGTATCCCCACGGTGACTCCCACATTGTTGCATCCAACTGCATGTATCAGCTACTCCAGTCTTATAGTCACCCGTACCAGTCATCCTTTCCTCTTCCTCCCGGTGACTGCCACGTCTCGGTCCTGTGCTCATCGACCGAATGATCCCCAATGATAATGACATCCAAACATGTTTGTATCATTGTGTTGTATCATACTACCATATGCTGCACTGTCAGCCCTGAAATTTTCACTCTTGAAGACAACGCCGGTCTGCTTCAGCAGGGCCTCGGCCGCCCGGAAGCATCCGCGCCACAAAGTCTGAATTTAGCGCCTCCGAAGGAGCCGGGTACACCCGGAACCCATTCCCCACTCTCCCTCCACGGGCTCCGACAAAATCTACACTGATATCGCAATGTGTCCCGCATCACCAGGTTCAAATACGGTAAAGCATGTTACAAAGTGATGCATGACGATCTGCAGTCGGGACACCAGTACTGCCGCAGCGGATCTCGAGCCTTTCGGGTCCATTGTTCTTCCTCGAGATGCCAGGTCGAAGAACAATGAGAGCAGTGAAGCGACGTCTGGAGAAATGATTATCTGGTAAAACCTCTCCTATCGCGGAAGTTACGCATCTACCTTTCTGGTGCTATAAGATGGTGCCCATCAGTCCAATCTCGACCTCCCCGCACTCTACTTCCTCTTCCAATCCGCATAACTCATACGATATCAACCACGCCAGAAATTCCGCTCGAAACCTGGGCACCCTAAGAAGTCGGCCAATGTCGTACTCCATCTCTCCGCCACCCCAGACACCTTCGATTGCTTCGGCTCCCGAGGACAATGGGGGTGGCGTCGGCTCTGGTGTTGTGACCCCCTCGACTGCCCGTAGGAAACCACATCGCATCTCTCAACCACTCAAATGCGAACGATGCGGGTACATCCTGCACGTATTTCCGAAGGAGGACGCTTCCACGAAGCTTGCAAGCCACCACCGGAGCGTTCGCTGTCAGAAGGCGGCCAGGGCAAGAATCAATAAGCTGGTACGAGCAGGAGCAGAAACCGCTAAGCTGGCTCCCTTTACTCCCCCCAAAACCGGAAGCTTGCGCGACGTTGCCGATGACAACGACGAAGATGAGGACGTGGGGACGCAAAGGCTGCATCCGAAAGACGCACCACAGCCTTGCTATCAATGTGGCGCCGACATCGAGCCGACCGAGGCTCGCTACCATGTCGGTCGGCACATCCTGCGGGCTCTCTTGGGAGTGAACGAGAAGCTGAGGACAGAGGTGAGTTCCCACGTCCGTTTTGCGGCGCATATAATCACAATACTCGATGTACACTGATAGGTTAATCCTGCCTCTGCTTGTGGATTCTGCGGACGCAGCGGGACGTGCAAACTCATTCTACCAGACGAGGCTCTCCAAGCACCGCCCGACGCCCAGGACGTCATGCTCATCTTCTCTTGCAAGAGAGCTTGCATGTCATCGCACGACCAGGTGAAAAGATACACGTCCAAGAATTGCTCGACAAATGTCCCGGTTGCATGCGCCTTCTGCCTCGACTCTTATGACGCGGTTGTCGAGGGTGCCGTGCACTGGAAGTTCAGCATCTTCCATCACATTCAAACAGTACACCCGGAGTACTGGGACCATGTCGCACAACGCGTCGTGAATATCCCGGAGACGTTTGTGCCTTTCATCTCTGTGAGCCAGAGGGAGCTGCGGGAGGTCGCACCGGACGCTCCTCTGCCGTATCCTGGTCCGGTCACTAGCAAGTAGTTTCTGCATTTTCCAGCTCTTCTTTGCTTCTTCTTGTTCTTTTTTGTGTTGAGACTACTGTCCTGCTCCTTGTGCTAAAATCTGATGATCACTGAGAGTGTATGTAGTCTAAGGATGTATACCTCGCAAATTGTATCCATGTCTATCGTGTCTATATATGCTAACGCCTCAAAACCTTTTTCCATTGGCTTGTTGGGTTAAAACGTCTGGCTTTCACTAGACTTCGAGAATCGAGAGTGGCGAACGCCGAACAGGACGCGTACTCCAGACGCGTCCTGTTGACTGACGTGACAGGCGCGTCTGTCACGCGTTGCGCTTCCCTTGCATTTCTCCCACCGTCACCTGCCCCATCATCTCTCACGATACACTTCGCGAATCCTTTCGAATACCATGTCCCAGGCCAGGGCACAACAAGGCCCGCTTCCGAAGATCAACAACCCACTTGCGCCGGGCTCGTCCAAATGTTGCCAACCATGCTGCACAAAGGATCAGATGCGCAAGGATGGGCATCCGTACAGCGAGATAGCTCGGGTGTGGATGCAGAGTACGATGGAATACGAGAAGGACGTGGAAGCTGAGTTTTTGAAGAGGGAATCTCTGACAAGAGTGAAGGCGGAGTCTATCGACGACTCGTCCATTGTCTCGTCGAACAAGCCAGGTGCGTCGCGGAGTCCCGTCGGGCTAGTCTTATTCTGACTAGGTACCGCAGCTCTTTAGAAAGGTTCGGATGAACCAACATGTTCGGAGTGCTTTGGTCGCATGCTCGTGCCTAAGCCCCACGTACTGTTGCGACAGCGCGAACTTGGTGACCCGAAAGGCTCCCAGAAATGGATTCGCGCGAAGATAGACGCTTGTGGGAAGGGAGAAATACCTCGTGCAGCGGGCAACTACGCTGCCCAAGCCTCGGAGGTTGTGCTCTAGAAGAGGTAGGCCGATGCTATGGACGAGCCACCAACCGCAACGTCGTTCAGCCAATGCTACATAGAATATCAGACGTGGGTGGCAATGTATGAGGTGCTTACCGAAAGCCTCAGAGACTTCTACAAGAACGGCAAGCTGTCGAAAACCTCTACGCCATACACCCACTTCCATGGCGCGTATTCCATCGTTGCTGACTCGTCAGTATCAAACAAGACGCGATCGGCACTCGTTTCTCAGGAGCCTCGGAAAATAGTGAAGTTGCCTCATAGGTGGGTATAAGTACTGCTGTAATGCGACTGAACTCACCAAAGACCGTTTCATATAGCTATGACGGTGTTTCGCGGGCCGAAAGCACGACCAGTTATACCGCGACATGTCACTGTGAATGCGATCTGAAGACTGTGGCACCAAAGGCTGTTCCACCTGCGCCAGCTCCGAGCTCTGCATCTGCATTGCTGGTTCCTCTGACCTTCGTCCACGCCCCTTTCCTTCAGTCACCACTACGCCTACGCAACCGGGTCCAGTACTGCAAATGGCACCTCCTGATATCCTCCCACCTTTGAAGAAGCTATGACAGGGCACGCTGTCGAAATGGATCCTGCGGGAGGCACCAATACCGGCTGCGGTGAAGGCAGAACCCGTCGAGGAGAAGATCAAAGTCTGTGGGGGAACTCTGCGGATCATCGTGATGGACGACCTATCGCACACGTACTTCAAGGGGCCAGATTTCAAGCTCATGAAGCCGTTTTGGCTGAGCTTGGTACTTAGTGTCTACGTATGTCTGGTGCACCTGCGAGAAAAAAAAAATGACGAGCCTCGAGCCGCGCATGGAAGCCGCAATCGCAACGTCTCGGGGAGCATCCGACGAAATACAGGAGCCGATGCTGCCAGTGTTCGAGACGTGCAGCTGGAAGGTGTGTCTGACTTCAAGCCGATCCATCGTCTCAGGCTCTGTACCGGGTCCGGATGTCACAGAGTGGCGCACTGCAACATAACACACCAGAGAACGTTTGTCTTCCGCTGAAATACTAAGGCTCGCTGTCTCATATCTTTGTAGTGACTGGACGGATGGACACCGCAGGCAACATCGTCGAGGTATCCTCTGGGGACTGAAAGTGGATCCCTATGGCGCACCTCGCTGGCTGATTTATCCAACTTATGGCAGATAGGTGACAAAATTAGGAAGCTGCTGGAGGATCTCGCTGTATTTATTTATCGTGCTCCTATATTACAGATGTTCGAAAATGGTTGACCTGAAGAGTAAACTTCGATAACAGCTGGCCGCGAAGTAAGTGACTCGATAATCATACCTAGCAATGCTGAAGAAACCGTTTCAGACGATAGAAGTACAACAGACTTGAACGATACGGTGTAACTGAATCGCGTTCACTAATTCGGAACCCGCTACTCACGACATATCAAGAGGGCGGCTACTTGATCTTGAGCTCAATCTATTGGCACATTCGTCAGTGCGAGGGTCCCATAACAAGATGCCGACGGCCCTCACCTCTTCCAGCACACGACCCACTTCGCCAGCTAGGAGAGCATTGAAGGTGTGCACGTCGGAGAACGCCGTCGTTCTGCACGCCTCGCACACTATCGCTCCACTCAAGGCGGCGTTGATTAGCTCAGGGTTTTCCAGTGTCTTGGCCCTCGGCCGTGCACGCAAGGCCTGGCGTGCTACGGAGAGGTAGCCCGAAAACCATGCCCCGCCGCACGTCTCCTTACGGCACCTGAACATCCCTGGCTGCCAACCTTGCCCGGCGGCGAGCGGCTCTATCCAGCTGAGGTCCGCCATTCGGTCAGCGACAGCTTTCACGCAGGCACGATAGTACGCCAAGAGCCGGTAATACACGCCGGCAGGAATACTCTCCAGCTCTTCAACGTACATCTCGTTGATGGGGTGCCCCAACGCTGCTATCGCCGCCGTCCGCATCTCATGCTCCCATTGCTTCTTCGCTGCCAGGGCATACACACGGAGCGGATATTGTTCGGCAAGCTCTGCGATGACCTTCTTCGAGGCCTTGACGGCAGCGATTATCTCGTATTTACGCGCGGCTTCTAGGAGGGCGAATGTGTCCTGGAAGCCCCGGAGAGTTGGCGCGTTGTGGACGGGGTAGACGTGGCGCAGGAGCGAATCCAGCGTCCTGCTGTCCTCGCTCACCGGGACAATGAGTCGCCTCATCTGGTCGTATTGGAGCCTACTCTGTGTCTCCTCTTGCTCCATGGCGAGGAACTGCCCCTGCCAGAATGGAGACCATGTCATCAGGATTTGCTTGTGTACGAGAAAGTGGACGTCGTCGCTGGTGCGTAAAACGATGTCTGCATGTTCGTGATTGAATGGCTCCATAGCGATAGTGGGCTTTTTCGTTTGCATAGGAGCGTTAGTGGACTTCTTCGCTTGCGTCTGCGCTCGCGGGGAGTACTGTGTGGGCATTGTCGAGTGAAGAGGTACGCCACAGTGGGTATGAGGTGCGAGCGAGGATGCACTGCCAGCAGCGTATTTATGACCCTAGAGCTATGACTTCAGGTAAACCTTGTATACAGAGCCTCATGGCATTTATCCGCCATGAGGATCCCGCTTTCCAGGCAAGAGATTGACAGGACAGGAGTAAAGGCGCTGGAGAACTGGGAAACCTTGTACAGCGAGTAGACCCCATTAGCAGCCGAATATATCGTATAACCGTTGTCAAATCATTCTCATCGTCCGACCGCCGTCGCTTTGAGGTAAAGGAGGGTAGGTTGTATTAACAGATATATCTTAACAGTCGATAGAAAGATTTAAAAGAGCGCGGGCTGATACACGAGGTAAGGACCGTGATGATAAAGAGAGTGGGTATACCTTGAATGGTAAAGACGGAAGTCAGGTGTGAAGCTTGTGCACCGGAATCGCCTCGCTTGCCTACCGCAGGACCCTAGATGGACAGGCAGTGCCATTCCTTGGGCGGCAGTCAGTAGTGCCGCAGTTTATGGCTACGCTGTTACTAATGAATGCGCTGTCGCTTATGACCGTGCCGCTTGCGTACAAGCGTGCCGTTGCTCGTGGGCGTGCTGTCGCTTGCGGACGTGCTAATGCCTGCAGACGTGCTGGTGCTTGCGGAGGTACCGGTGCCTGCGGACTCGGACGCATCGGTGCTTGCGGAGGCACTGGTGTTTGCGGAGGTGCTGGTGCTTGCGGATGCACTGGCACTTGCGGAGGCACTAGTGCTCGCGGACACACTGGTGCTTGCGGAGGTACCGGTGCTAGTGGACGTGCCGTTGTTTCTGTACGGGTCGCACACGTTGGAGTCATGCACCTGAGAAGGATCCTGAGTCAGGTATCCCAGGCGAAGACCCTCCAAGTAAGACCTGTGCGGATCGCTCCTCGTGAGTAAACCCGCAAGGGGAGGGAGGGCGCCAAAGTGCTGCGTACCACTGGCGCGCAAGATCTCCCGCTAGCTGCGATATCTCGACCTTGAAGTTCCAGAACTATACACGAACGGAGTAAGAACGGCCATCCTGTTACAGCTGTTCCTGAAGACTTACGATCCAGCCCGCGCCCTGACTGTACGCGAGCTTCTGCGCGTCAGCCCACTTGAACAGGAAGTCGTCTGTGGCGTTGAACTGAGTCGGAAGGCCCCACTCGCCGAACCAGAGCGGGCTGTCTCCCACCGCGGCGTCGTTCTGGACGCGCTGGAGGTCTGGACCTGTATTAGCTTTGATGGAAAGCTGTCCAGGAGCGCTACTTACTGCAGATGCTTGTCAGGTAAGCATCCGGGTTGGGATCGGCAACACCCTAGCGAGTCGGTCAATTGATGTCCCACACTGCAAGGCGCTGTGTCACGTACCCCGAAACTGTAATAGAGGTGGTTATCGTAACCCTGAGGACCGATGGCTGCAGCTGCTGGGTTAGGCGGGTTGTTGAACTGCCAGTTAACGTCCATAAAGCTAGTGCCACGGTAAATAAGGAACGCTGAAATCTTACACAATTCAAATAAGCTTACTTGGTGACCAAGGGCTCAGGATTGCTGTGGCAAGGAGCCTCCTCGAGCTCGAAGTTGAAGATGGTCGGGATGGCAAGTTCGATGGCAATCTCCGCCAGGATAGGAATCGCATCCTCCAGAGCAGACTTGACTTCATCGTTGAAGATTTCGGTCAGCGTAGTTGCGTTTGTGACGTCGCCCAAAGCATAAGTGAAGTTCGAGGTGTTGACCGGTACGTCGAGCTGGATGCCAGGCACAGGAATGCCCAAAATGAGCTCGACGGCGCGAACGACTTTGACGAAGTTTGCCTGGACTAGAGAAAAAAGAGGGCTATTGGTACGCGAGATGGGCAACAGACGAATACACTCACAAGTCCCATACCCAGGAGTCTGGGTAGCATCCATGATCGGTTCTTGTACAGATCGTCAGTTTTCACTTGTGAAACCTTGCAGAACCATGGCATACCATTGACGGCCTCGATAGCAAACACGGAACCGAAGTTGGGATCCAGGTGCGATAACGCTGTCATCACCGCCGTCCAGATGAGAGCACGATGGTAGTTATACTCGGTCTGCAGGACCTGTAAGCCCACCCACGAAAACTGACAGAGAGCCCGAAACGTACATAGAACTCGACATCATTTGTGCAATGTCCGGTGAACATCTGGCCGGCAGTCTGGACGCCTGGCAGGGCATGGTGGTCCAGAATTGCCACGATACCTGCGGCCTGAAGCTGGCTGAGACCGCGTTGCTGCGGATAACGTTAGCGAAAGCTCGATGCCAAGCATGTTAATGCACCTACCAGCTGCTTGATACCACCACGCGGGTAGAATTCGCTCGTCCGGTTGACCAAAGGCTCGATGATCCAGTATCCGAGCTAGAGAGGCAAAAGCACTTAGTTATTCCGTGGCGACGTTATACATACGGAGGCCTTACGGGAATGCGAACAGTGTTGATGCCAGCCGCGGCGATCTGATCTACGTCATCTTGAGTGAACCATGACTCCCTAAACGGCTATCAGTCACAGAATGATGGCATAAACTTCAGTCTCACGTACCAATGTTGCTCGAATTTCTGATCGACTGTGTCGGGATACGCCTGGGCGAACGCACTGAGCAAGCATTAGAATTACTTTTGCGAGGAGTGGCAAGCGCGGAGCCACGCACAATTCAGTCGCAATGCACTGTGAGCAGTCGCTGCAGCTTTGGCCGCCCATGGCTAACCACTCTGCAGAATTAAATCAGCTTTACGCGTCTCTCGCGCAGCCGAGATGTTTACCTGCGGGTAACATCCAAGATTCCAACACCAGCCTGACATGAGACGAGACGGGTTCAGCGGGATGCAATGTTTAAAGGGGGTGAAACGTCGTTACCATGAACCTAGATTAACACCATAGATTTTGTCAGGCATGCCGGCAAGGGCTGGGGTAAGGAGTGTGAGGAGAACTGCGACCGTAGCCAAGAAGGCCCTCATCTTATTGAGGGAGGGGGGAGGGAGAAGGGAGGGAGTCGGTGCCGAGCAGCAGCCCTTTCCTAGCCACCTTTGTACTCACCATTTTTCACGCTTCGGAAGACGTCTGATGACGGCGCCATTCAAAGACTTTTTGATGTGTTTGGCGCACGAGAAAAGCAACCGACAGCTCTTGCGTCTAAGACGAATTTAGTGGGGAACGAGATTACGGGAAAAGTGTGCGCGACCCTGATTATTGATGGCCGCGAAGGGTGGATGCCGAGGAAATGAGTCCTGTGATCGTTATTGCTCGACGACTTTGCTCATGGCCGTTTGAATGGTCGCAGTGATGCCTGTTGCGCAGCGGACGCGCGCCGCCTCAGAAACGCATTCTCAGTGATGAAGCACGGCAGGAAGCTACCCTGAGAGCACCCGCAGACCCCACGTGAGACACAGACGCGTGTATCGCGAGCTGAGAGTCGGTGTCGTTGGTCAAGTGCTCCTCGAAGGAGAGACAAGTATAGACGAGACCACATGTGTGGCGGGCCGCGGTCGTTCTACGACGGCACCTGAATTTGTCGTACGTGGGTAGCTTGGCTCGCGGCAGCGGAGTTTAGGTGCATATGTGGTATATACGTCTCACCTACTTCTGACTTGCGCCGCAGACATCTGAACACATGCTACGGTGAGCGAGGGCAGTGTTGTGGCTATTTCGCCGAGGACGTTTCTAAGAGAAGTGCTGAACGTCTCCAGGAACAGGATAGAAGAGCTCCTTACCACAAAACTCAGGTCATCAGCTGCGAATCCATCATCTGAAATGCTGGACACAAGCAGAATCTTCTGACAGAGAGTCAATACGGGTCTGAACAAGTACTCCATATCTTAGGTTCGAGTTTGCAGAGGATGGGCGTTTTGCCCTTGATATGATACACACGGACTTGATGAGAATGCCTTCTACTCGTACACCTCCAACTTTATACAAGCTATAACTACCACGTCCGGATAGTTTACGCGCCACCAGACTTCTTGCTAGAAGACGCTTTCAGTTCAGAAAGTTACAGAGCAGAGCACTCACAGTGAGTATCGGGTCACCCAGAATGGAAGACCAAAGCCAATAACACAGAAGGCACTGAGCTTCGCGACGAAAGGGCCCTTGTTCTTGTAGGCAAAAGGAAGATGCTGCACAAAGATAGGGTCAGGACAGGGGTGCGAGGAGATGTAAACTTCGACTGACGGGCGGTGCGCCGTTGCCATGGTGCTCGCTGGCGTATCTCACACCCTTGAGCGCCACCTGAGAGCGACGCGAGGTCATGCGCAGAGTAGCAGGGGACAGACGGGCAGCAGACATAGTGAGCGACTTCTGGGCAGATACAGAGAAGGGATAGGCTGGCGCGGGGTGTTAAGGAAGATCCTGGGAATCAGATGGCCCCATGGGACCTCAGGCTTTATAAGTGCGCCTTCGGTTCGCCAAACACGAGGGTCTGCGCGGAAATTGTAATAGTCAGTGGCAACCGTCAGTAACGACTTACACGGAATAATAACCCGCCAATCAGAAGTGCTTCTGTGTGTGTTAAAGAGGGGCTAAGGGCGTCTGGAGGGGGTCAGGAGACTCCTGAGAAAGTCAGGGTAGGTCGGCCGGCTATGACTTGCATTTCTCGACAAGTCTCCAGTGCCACGGACGCATAGTACACCCAGTCGCGGGACAACTGCCAACACTGCTGCGGTATTTGGGCTTGCGGTGATGAACGCCACAAAGGCGTTGTATCGTGACAGCAGCAAGCAGAGCTTTTCAGTGTTTATTTATTTGCCGGCGGGACCCGGACTTTAGGCGGAGTTTTTGTTCATCGTTCTCCTTTACTTAGTGCCAGGCTCTAATCAACCTATAACAAGCACAGAATAAGCTAGGGGTTTTTACAGCGAAGCGAACGGCACAGGGCTTTTTTCTCTCTTTCAATTCCTCTAAGTTATGTGAACGAGGCGGACGAGCTTCCACCAGCCAATGGCATCGCGCGCATTTGCCTCCTCGACGCCGTGACCCGCCTTGTGTGACCAAGTGACGCGCTTGTGACTGCACGTCACGAACAGTCCGAGGGAGTCCGTTCGCCCGAGACCGTCCTGCTTCCGCATCCGCCCTCGCTGCCAACGACCATCATGTCCTCTGCCGTCGTTGTTCGCTCGCTCGTCAACAGGAACGTCGCCTCGGCGGTTGTCCGCAAGTCCTTCAGGCCGCTCGCCCTCCAAGGTGTGTATATCGCGTGGGCTTCAAGGGGCAGCACCTGACGACCTCTGTCCTTACTGCTCGCCCGGAACACACAATACACTACGGACGGAATGTACGGCGATTATATAGTGAGGCATGCGCACCAAGATACCGCATATGTTCCTGGTGGTCGTACGTAGCCAATTCTCGGAACCGGTCTCGTGAAGCGTGCCGCCCCACTTACCTTGATCACGCCTCAGCCATTTACAAGGGCACTGTGAACGACCCTACTACATTTCCTCCACCCAATCGTAGCCATGGCTCGTACCACTGGGCGTTCGAGCGCCTCCTCTCTGCTAGTCTCATCCCTATGACCGCCGCGGCCTACGTTACCAGCGGTACCAACTACCCTGTCCTCGACGGCATCCTTGGCATGAGCCTTATCGTCCACAGTCACATTGGGGTGCGTTTATTCATTTATATTGGCACCCGTCACGGCCCAGGGGTGCTCTAAGCTTCACGAGAAGAGCCCGAAGGTCCTATGGTCCATGTCCTGTGCCCGGTGTACTGAAGATACCTTGCCAGTTCGACAGTATCGTGGTGGACTACCTGCACAAGCGCAAGTTCCCCGTCCTCGGCCCTATCACCTCGTGGACTCTGCGCGCGGTAACCGTCGCCGCCCTTGTTGGCGTGTACCAGTTCAACACGAACGACATTGGTGAGTGGCAGACGCCGTTGTATCGAGGCCTATCGCGTCTGACATCTGTAACAGGTCTCACGGAACTCATCGCCAAGGTCTGGCATGCATGAGGAAGCTTAAAACCCTTTGGACGTTGTGGCTATCAGCATCGCTTCCTGCATTAGCAACATATCTGTCTCTGGCCCCCAACAATGTAATTTCTTCTCCAGCCAAACGAATATAGTCGGACCGTTCCGGCAACTCATCATGTATGGAGACTTGATTGGGTAGCGTTTCGTGCCACGAGGCTCTGGAGTTGATCCAAAAGGCTGACACGCACGGTTTGCCAGTGCGATACGGTCGGTGTGATTCTTGGTATGCGCTTTGTTATCGCGAATGAGATTCGTGGCTGAGAATTCTCAGGATATATATGTGAAGGGCGCCATCCATGCTCACTTCGGCTTCAACTTGGATCACCCACGCCCGAGTTCTTCACATGAGTTTCATGTAAAGCAGTGAGGCCGGCCGTGTCGCAATATGCAAAAGCGGCATACCAGAATCAGGCATAATAGCATCCGCGAAGGTGTCCTGATCACTACCCTGCAGTTTTATTGCGGCCTATCACTCTTTCAAGTCCCTTACTCGCGCCCACAGCGTCTTATAAGCAACATGATTGAATCATGGCGCCACCCACATCGGCCCCGACTCTGAGCCGCGATGTTAAGAATATGAATATTGCGCTCGTCGGTGAGTTCCAATCTGCTTTTGGGATTGATGAGCTAGATCAACTGTGTGCAGTTCGCGTATGATCCTCTACGTGGTGATGGTCGTGCAGTACTTCCGTGCCTTCCTCTTTCTAGAGCTTCTACCCGAAGGAAGTCTGCGGGACACATGCCGGCAGGTACCCCACAGCTGTGTTCGCATCCCGGTATCTTGTTGTGATATCGGTGCAGTTCATGAAGAGAGATCACCGCGAACCGCGGACCGGTCTATTAGGCGGCTGCTGACAGTTCCCCGAAGCGACGAGAGCGGACAGCGCTGGCATATGCGGCACGGTGCATCGCATAATGAGGGCCACGAGATCCCTACGCCATCCGCAATTTGACCTCGACGAGTGTTAGCCGTGTCGTCGCGGTGCGATACATGACGAGACACGTTCTGACTATCTCCCGTTGCGTGATGTGTCGTTAGGATGCAGGGGGACATCTGTCCCGCGGCGGCGCATTGGTTGATTCTGCCTCTAGGCCCGCAGGAGCCAAGTAAGTAAACTCTATGAAGCTGTCTGTGTCTGCCATCCATATTTGGCGGCCAATGGCATCAACAAAGTTCAATTTTTGGTTTCATCCGAGCCCGACTCGGGCATGCGCAGCTGTGGGGCGCCTCCTCGCCTGTGCCATCCCAGCATGATGGCGTCGGTAACCGAGGAGACGGCAAGCTCTAGGCACCCAGTGCTGGCTCCTTCAGTTACCGGCTGGTGTCGGAGCTCCACTATTTCCGACTCGTATGCCCGCAGAGCCTGTTGCATCAGGCGGCACATACCACTAGATGTGGATATGAAACCTCTCGAGAAATGACAATGTACGGCATTGATCCAACTCTCCCCTAATTCTCCACACGCGGGGACTGGATGTTATTTGCCTGCCGACGGCGCACAGATGTCGCGAAAGGTGAAGTGGTGGTGGTCATGTTATCTCTCGGGTCGACGAGGTATCCGCATACCTGAGCTATGTACTATGTGGCGTAGTCGGCTCTAGTGTCCATTCTCAGACAAAAGGCGTTTCTGACTCGACGACATGCCAGTGACATTGGTCCCGGTTGGGCTCTGAGTACTGTGGGTTCCTCAAGAAATAGGGACAAGTTGGTCACTAGCCTGGCGACAATGTCGTCGGCAGAAGCGCGTAAGCGTGCGGCCACAGGCGTCTGCACATTTCCGAACGCGTCTGATGTTTTCCGGCGGATTGGCGTGGCGGGCATCGGGCGCATTCTCATAACGTTTTCAAGCCGTAAATCAGCGTCTCTCGCGGACACTGGTATCAGCATCTCGCTGTCGTTCTCCCGCAAGGGTACGGCGCGAACGACTTTGTTTCAGTTTCGCAGCAACCAGAGGGGTCCGGATGAGCTCCTAGCCAATCTTACATACGCAGGGCGACTATGAGGAACGCGGCTGACTAATTGCGTATGGTATTGCAAAGAGTTCTACCATAGCTCAGGTTCGTACCATGATCCTATTCAGGTTACCGTGCACAGCTCGTGGTATATAGGTAGGCCTCCGTCTCTCGCTTCCAAGTCATACTCTCAACTCCCCTCCAGCGCGATTCTGAGTTAAAATGTCCCCCAACAACTCGCCACCTCTAGCCCCTCAGTATCAGCCGGGCCCCGCAGCATACATGCGGGCACCGAAGGGCAAGGCGTGTCTGAATTGCCGCAGACGCAAGTTGGTAAGTGCGGCTTATCGTATGCGCGGCCTCCGGCTTGGCAGGCTGCGCGCCTCAGGTCAGACTCTCTGACGAAAATATTCTTTGGACGCTCAGAAATGTGACTGTGCGCACCCGGTCTGCAGCCAGTGTGTGCGCCTCGGCCGCGAAGGGGACTGCGAGTACTCCGAGAAGGACCAGAAGACTCGCACAGAGATCCTCGAGGAGCACGTCGCCGCGCTCAAAGCCCGGATCGTCGAGCTCGAGGGCGCTGCCAATGGCGGCGCTGGTGTCAGTCACGCGGATGGATTTGCCTCTTGGCCCGGTCTCTTGGATGACGACGACTTTGCCGACCTCGCGGGGACGTCTCATGACGCGAGGCACTCTGGTGGCAGTCATGGTTCTAGTCCTGGTAGGCATAATCTCGACGTATCTCATTACGGGATGTTCGAACCACTTGTAGAATTGACCGGGAGAGGCCATTCAATCCCCACCTATCCCGAGGCGCAGATCCTGTACGAAGATCTCATTGATTAAATCGGTAGCGGTCTCGCTGACAATGCACCGGGTTAGCCTTGACGCCTTCTTGCCGCACGCGCAGGAAGTCGGCTTCTTCCTCAACACGGCCCGGTTCTTGAGCAAGGTGTCACAACAGCTATCTGGCCTCTCCTCTGTCGTAAACTCGTTATTCGATACCATCAACGAATCCGACCCGCTGCTGAGCGCCGTCTACGTGTGGGGTGCCGCACTGACCTCAGACGAAGACCTCAGAGTGCAACAAAGCGCCTATCTCGCGAAGGCCGTACGGCAAGTCTCAGAGCTAGGCCCGAACAAGGTCCGCACGATAAACACTCCCACAGCGCAGCCGAACGTGCTGCACATAATCCAGGCCCACGTTCTCCTCGCGAACTACTTCTACAACGCCGGCCAGTTCGCCGAGGGGCGCAGACACACCGCCGACGCTGTCTCGCTTGTCGTGCTCTACCGGCTGCACAAAATCAGGAGCCCAACGCCACATGACCGCTCGAAGATGTCGCTCGCACACGCCGCCGACGAGGAGCTTGCGATGCGGCCTGCGGCTGACCTGATAGAGGAAGGCGAGCGAATACACGCGTTCTGGCAAGTTTGCATTCTGGACAAGACGTGGGCTGTAGTACTTGGATGCCCAAGCCTGATGGTCGCGGACGACAGTCTAGGCGCCAAAGTTGCCTGACGCGACCGCAAAGTCGACGCTCACCACCACTTACGAGCCATGGTTAGAATCATCATTAAAGGAGGTACGTAGCTCTCACACGCCATCTTTTGTTGAAATTAACAAGCTGTGTGG